ATATAAAAGCAAGCCCTAGCACTAACCATTCAAAAATTATGGCCAAGGTTAAAGTTTTTTTTAAAAGTAGGCCATATTCCAAAGACAAAGGGTCAAAATTGTTGGTACTCAAGGGATGGTCTTGTCAAAAGGAATATACATGTGAAATATGAAAGCCCTAGCATCAATCGTTCAAAAGTTATTGCCAAGGTTAAAAGTTCAGCAAAATTTTGCAAAAGTAGTTAAAATGTCAAGGTCAAATATGTTGGTACCCAAAGAAAGGTCTTGTCACAAGGAATACACCAGTGAAATATGAAAGCCCTAGCTCCAACCAATCAAAAGTTATGGTCAAGGTTATAGTTTTTGTGAACAAACAGATAGACAGGCAGATGGTCAGGGCAAAAACTATATGCCCAAAATATTTGATTATTGGGACATAAAAACATAACCATGTAAAGTCAAAGAAAGTTAAATATTGTATTATTGATATGCATGTCATTTTATGTTTCAATGATGGAAGGACTGCTGCTCAATAAATCTTAATACAAGTGCGTGGCAACGCACTTTGAAATAATTACACACTTTGAAAATTTTTTTCAAAGTGCGTTAAAATTGGGACAAAATCGACACACTTTGAAAAAAAATTCAAAGTGCTTTAAATTTGGGACAAAATCAACGCACTTTGAATTTTTTTTTCAAAGTGTATTACGAGTGTACATCAACATTTTTTACCATGGAGACACTTAACGTGCTTTGAAAATATATACATGTACAAAACAAAAATTCTGGACGTAGATTTTAGAAATAAACAGCATTATTTTGTAATATTTCTTTTGAAAAACTGATGAATTGATCTTCCCTCCTCTAGAACGAGAAACAGGTAGAACTGGTCCGGCCCTCAGCTGAACTCTTTATCTGTCCTATCCAAATATCACTCTCTACCATTGGCTCATACATGTACATTCACCTCTGTCGTTGGCTTACATATATCACAGTGTTCAGCATATAAGGTAGATATTTACTAAGTAGGTCTAGAAATATTAGTTTAATTTGAAATAATCCTTGGAATATCATGTTTTTTAACCTTATGTCAAAATTCTTGACATGAGCCCATTGCAGAGGTGTCTGAGAGAGGAACGAATGACAATTCTGAAAGGAAGATTGCCCAAATAAACGTATTAACATAACTGGTATGATATTGATATACTCTCTTTCAATAAATTTGAGTTAACATAGTAATCTGACTACATAACTTTTGTTTATAAGATTTTTTGAGAAAAAGTTATTAGTGAACGTCAGGTAAAAATTTCAGGAGTGGGTAACGTGGCTAAGATTTTTTCTTTCTTACTATCAAATAAATGAGTCAACCATTGTTCATATATGTTTACAATAGAGAGATAGATGAATATGATAGATTAGAGAGAGAGGAGAATTTTCACATTATGGAAAAATCATAATTGCTCCCTTTTTCCTAAGAAAAATGCAATACTACTTTAAGTCCCTGATCAATCCCTACATCTTCTGAACTTATTACAGACTGGATAAGATAAAAAAAAAAAACCCATAGGTAATCAAAGATTACGAAGCTCACCTCGACGAATGTTATCAGTAAAAGGAATGCAAATCTCACATCATATTTTCTTTATAGTTAGTGTGCATCCTGAAAACAATATGCAAGTTCTGTGTTAGTAGGTCTTATACTTCGTTGGGAATTGACTTGTTCCAAAAACTTTAACCTGTTCACTAATCAAGAAAATGTCTTTCATTTCCTACATCCGAAGTAAGTCTGGAATGCACCATCTATGCAAGTTAAATCATAACAGGCCATATAATTATAGAGCTGCTCCAAACACATTGTCATGGTTACTCATTTGGAAAATGTAGGTCAGATCCAGCATCCAAAGCAAGTCTGGTAGTGTCCATCCCTTTATGCATCATCCATGCAAGTTTGGTCCAGGTAGGGCTTATAGTTACTTGGGAATGGACCTTCTCCAAAAACTTTAACCTGGTCACTCATCTGCAAAATGTAGGTCAGATCCAGCATCGGAAGCAAGTCTTGTAGTGTTCATCCCTAGATGCATCATTCATGCAAATTTGGTCCAGGTAGGGCTTATATTTACTTGGGAATGGACTTGCTCCTAAAACTTTAACCGGGACGCCGACGCTAACACCGATGCCAACGCCAGGGGTATAGCATAAGCTCATCTCGACTTCGTCGAGGTGAGCTAAGAAAAGAAATGAAATTGTGCTTTTAAACAATCATAGTCTTCCAGTATTTCTAAAAGACCCCTTTCCCTTTTATAACATTTACGAGAACCTATGGGAACAAGAACAATCTAAGAAAGCCCAGAAATCTTGAATTTCGTATTTCAAAACTCGAATGAGCCTACTGGGCTTTCGTAACAATCCCTAAAAATCTTTAAAACGTCTACTTCTCGGATTTTGAAGTGAGGTCATCACCGAAAAGTTATCCAACTAGGTTTAAATAATTACAATGTATTTATCATACCTTAAATTTGCAAGAATATTGACCAAGCCATGCACATTTTTTTTTAAAGTGCCTTAATATGGTTGATATTAACGCACTTTGAAAAGATTTTTTTTTCAAAGTGCGTTAACTTGGTCCCAAATTTAACACACTTTGAAAAAAAATTTCCAAAGTGCGTAATTTTTCCAAGTGTGTTGTAACACAGGTGGCTTGCTTATAGTGGCATTTACTGATAGTTAACAACCATGGTTTTCAAAAGAAATAAAGATAACATTCAGTGGATGTAAATATAATGAAATAATGCAATACTTTAGAGCATTCATGAAAAAACTCGTGTTAAACTAGAAAAATTCACAAGACTTTAGTATTGTATCAAAAATATAATAATCAAGATTAAATGTTGAGCATTTTAAGACTCTCTGAATAGGAATGATTAATCATGTAAATAAAATGCCATACTAGATAAATTACTTAATTAAAACCATTTCATTACAATTTTATTACCAAATTCTATATTGCACACTAGATTGATTTTGCAAGCTGCCATGAGATACATGTATATACACTAGCATGTATATAATATACTTTGCAGTTTCACTTTTCTGCAATTCAACACACTTTATCTGTGAAAAAAATCCTGCTTTTCCGCGACAAGTTTTACTGCTTCTCCATGATTATAATTTTTAGCTTTTCCATGACTTTCTTTTCGTACCTCTTCCATTAGCCAGGTAAAACCTGTTGCCCCTGCCTACCACGGGGAGGTTGTATTTGTGGTTTTGCAGATTTTTATGCCCCCGGATCGAAAGATCCCGGGGGTATATTGTTTTTGTCCTGTCTGTCCGTTTGTCTGTTTATCTGTTTGTCTGTTTATCTGTTTGTCTGTTTATCTGTTTGTCTGTCTGTCTGTTGTCAACTTTAACCTTGCCCATAACTTTTGATTGGTTGGAGCTATGACTTTCATATTTTACAAATTATTCCCTGTGACAAGATCTTTTTTGGGTACCATCATATTTGACCTTTTGACCTTGACCTTGGAGTTTGACCCACTTTTGCAAATTTTTTGAGACTTTAACCTTGGCCATAACTTCTGAACAGTTGGTGCTTGGGGTTTCAAACTTCACACCTTTCTTTGGATACCAACAACTTTGACCTTGACCTTGGAGTTTGACCTACTTTTTAAAAACTTTAACCTTGGCTATAACTTTTGAACGGTTAGAGCTAGGGCTTTCATACTTTACATATGTAATCCTTGTGACAAGACCTTCCTTTGGATACCAACCACTTTGACCTTTTGACCTTGACCTAGGAGTTTGACCTACTTTCGAAAAACTTTAACCTTGGCCATAACTTTTGAATGGTTAGAGCTAGGGCTTTCATACTTCACATATGTAATCCTTGTGACAAGACCTTCCTTTGGAAACCAACTACTTTGACCTTTTGACCTTGACCTAGGAGTTTGACCTACTTTTGAAAAACTTTAACCTTGGCCATAACTTTTGAATGGTTGATGCTAGGGCTTTCATACTTCACATATGTAATCCTTGTGACATCACCTTCCTTTGAATACCAACCACTTTGACCCTTTGACCTTGACATAGGAGTTTGACCTACTTTTGAAAAACTTTAACCTTGGCCATAATTTTTGAATGGTTGGTGCTAGGGTTTTCATACTTCACATATGTAATCCATGTGACAAGACCTTCCTTTGGATACCAACCACTTTGACCCTTTGACCTTGACCTAGGAGTTTGACCTACTTTCGAAAAACTTTAACCTTGGCCATAACTTTTGAATGGTTGGTGCTAGGGCTTTCATACTTTACATATGTAATCCTTGTGACAAGACCTTCCTTTGGATACCAACAACTTTGACCTTGACCTTGATGTTTTATTTACTTTTAAAAAACTTTAACCTTCGCCATGACAATTGAACAGTTGCACCTAGGGCTTTCAAATTTAACATTTTTTATCTTTTGGCCTGGATTTTGACTTGCATTTGAGAAACTTTAACCTTCGCCATAAGCTGCCATACGGGGGCATCAGTGTTTCACAAACACATCTTGTTTTATGCTGCTTTGGTCTGACACATCCTCATTCCTTAAAACATACTTCTCTGTACGTAAATCCATCATAGATTATACATTTGTTCCCCCGATTCAATTTCCATATTGTTTAAAACATCTAAAACCTATCACTGACCAGTGTGAAATGAGAGATTCATTCACTTTTTATCACTATATGTAAGTAAGCAATCACAACCTAATAGAACGCTTTGAGTAAAGGCAGGTAAATATCAGCAACCGTTTGATGTTAATTGTGGAAAGAAAGTATCAAAAAAGGAGATAATACATGACATATAGTAAAAACCAATCACGGACAAGCAGTATAGAGAAGTCGTGGAAAAGCAACAAGGTTCTGAAAATAAAATCGCGGAAAATCAGGTCAGCCATATACTTAGTATCAGGATATTTTCAATTCAGGTAGAAAATGTTTTAAAAGTATCATTGAGGAAGTTATACATGTACTCAGGTTTCCAAGGCACAGTTCACTAAGAAATTAAAATCTGAATACAGAATGCCTTCAATATAATACAGCCACATTGTCCAAACACTGACTCAGTAATTAGGATTAAAGTATGGTTACTACCTTACAACATATCATCTACAATTTGTCTTCACAGCAACAGCCTTCCCAATCAAAAACCCAGTATCACTATTCCCCTGCTTAGCAGGAGGACGGACAAGTTTGGCATATGAAAAATTATCTGTTTCCATCCAGCAGTGAGTGACTTCTTTCACTTTCTCGCGAGCCTTGCGATGTTGCTGTAGCTGTGTTGTGATATCAGAGAGACGTACTCGTGGAATTTGGAGGACAGCAGCCGAGAAACCCGTACATATTGACCACATACCAGTAGATATCAGCTGCTCTGTGGACCTTCCCTGCCATACATTCCAGGCAAAATTACCTAAAATGAATATAACCTGTCCAAAATATTTTGCCTTTTCAGTTTAAACCACATGTATACATAGAATAATTAATATGTGCGAGAACAAAAATTGATCCAACAGATTGCAATTTTTGTTCTTGCACCAGTATTATTATTATTATTTTTTAATTTCCCCTCAGATATTTTCTTATAATATTTTAGTTTTAATCACTTTCAAAATTGCATATTGATTTAAACACTGAGAACATATAAAATTTAATTATATATACAAATATTTTCACTAATATTCATATCTCTTGATAGTCAATGTTATACGATTATCAAAATCTGCTTTCAAAAAGCTTAAGAAAATACAAGAGGCCCATGGGCCACACTGCTCATTTGAGCCACCTTGACCCTGCTGTGCATTCTTCAGAAATTGCCCCCTACCCTAGCTAGAGCCCCTGGGGCCATGATATGAACAAACTTATATGTACCCTACCTGGGGATGCTTGCATATTAAAATGAATAATCATGACCATGCTCTTCTCAATATGAATCTTTTTTTCAGACTTTTTCTTTGATTGTGGTCAAACTCAAAAACTTCAAAATTCAAAAACCTTTAATCGACATGATATGTTTGCATATTTAAGAGAAAGAGAATAATTATGTACACATTTGTGATCCAGACAACGATCACTGACATTAAGGAAAGAATAGAGGACATGCTTATTAAAACTACAGGCATGTGCGGATCTAGAGTGGGTTCGGGATGGGGTTCGGACCCCCTGAAATTTGTGGAGTTATTACGTGTACATTGTAAAGTAAATATTTATTAAGAAAAATGACCTCCCCCCCAAAAAAAATCACGGACCCCTTTGATGGGAAAAGTACACATTAACCCACCTGCCCCTAAAAATATCCTGAATCCGCGCTATCCACCGTCAGGCACTTGAAGCGAGGACAACGTAGGCTACATCTATGCATCATCCCCCTCCCTACCAAATGATATATAAATTACAAGAGTGCATTTTCTGGAAAATGTGTGATTTCTCCATCATAGCAATTTTAATGTTATTCTGTGCAATCGGTCAGTGTTGTTTTCTGTGCAATCAGTTAGTGTTGTTTTCCAGTTTTACAATTTCGCCAAATACGGGGGATGGGGGTGGGTGGGGGATGCAGAGTTGTACGATATCATGGGTACTTTAGGTGCCTGTGCATCGAAAATTATGTTGTGTTCGCACATATAAATATCGAATACTGGCTATTCATGTTGATCAGAGTGGTCTTTTATAAAGTTAATTCACTCATATCTCACCACAACGTTTTATATATATACCAAGTGTATATATTTTATGTTTTCCGTACATGAACCCTATGCTTTTCTTTTGTACTGGAAACTTCATATGAGAATACCGGTATACATAAAGAGATCAACTCATTCTTGATAATCAAGGTTAAATATGAACAACACATATAATTTATATCGTTTTTGGTATAATTTGTATATTTCAAGGGCTTTAAACTGGTATCATATTTTCCATTATCCGTTCTGTTCCGCTTTCCGTTCCGTTTTCCGTTCCGCGTTTTAGCAACACCCTTATTGTTCATGAGAGGAAGATTTTGTAAGATTTTTCTCTATTTGTTCCTATGTTATATTTTGACTCCTATTATGGCCCCCTATATCCCCCTCCCTGTGGGATAATTTGAACAAACTTAAATCTACACAACTGGAAAATATGTCATTTGAATAAACTTGAATCCTTTTCACCCAAGGATGCTTTGTGAAAAGAGCATTTGAGAATTAAGAATTGTGTTGAAAATGAGAAAAGTTGACAGATCAACAGATGGATGCCAAACAAAATGTAATCGATATCAGAAAACCTCACTTGAGCTTTCAGCTATATATTTTACTTTATGTATATATACTTTATATAAACTAAGTAACATTATTACCTAAGCATGCTGCACCAATGGAGAAAGACAATGTGTTGAAGAACCGCTTGTCTTTTTCAGCTTTTGCTTCAACAGCTTTCACCACAGGTGACATAAGAACTTCACAGCCTTGTAACATATCCTGTACCTGTCTGGACTGCATCACCAAAGCCATCATATCCTCATCCCATAACGCCACAGGCTGGTGACCATTTTCCGACCCCCTTCTTTGGTTATCACAGATTTCTGAAGCTTCCTTTTGTAAAAGACTAACAATTCCACATATATTATTCAAACGTAGCACTAAATTGTTCAGATTTGTTCTAATTCTGCATGGCACTGTCACAGAGGTTTCCAGGGCAACCTCACACACTTTGCAGGACAACCTTATATAGACCGTTTCTGATGTTATTGTCAGGAGTTGACGGAGGAACAACATCCAGTTTGAAACATTGTGTGCTCTTGTTGCACCATAGTATTGGTCCATACACTGCAAAAAGCTGTGTGTGGCAGCCAGAAACTCATCATTGCTGTGGAGATTGTTGTCCTTGACATTCTGCAGATATGTGAGGAGATGACAAACGACCTTGACATCTTCAGCTACAGGATCAACCAAAAAATGGAGACCTGTATGTGAAACAATCATTTGATATTATACAATTTTTGTGCAGCATGCATTTTGAATTTTGTCAGTCCCAATAACCAAACCATTTGCCTAAGGCTGTTAGGAAGAAACATTATGTGACTGTTTGACTGACATGTGCAGAACAATTATACATGAGTGAATATAGTAAGCTGTTTAGAGAATAAAAGTTTTGCTACTATGGAACAAAGATACCCCCCCCCCCCCCCCCCCGATTTTGTGTCTGATAACACGCAATGCCCTATGTTTGCACAACACTGTGTTACTTTGAATTGTGAAACCAGAGACAAAATTAATAATCTTAAACTATATATGACTCCATATAAACTGACCATTTATAGACATTACTGCTATAATGCGCCTGACAGATGCATGGTGATGTCGTCGTCCTATTGATATTCAAGTCACCTCTGCATTTCCTCCAAAAACGTCAACAACGGGAGGTGTTCGTTGTGGACTTGACCAATATTTCAAACTTATACTTAAATGATCAAAAAGACGTAATTTATGTTATAAATGGGAACAAAAATACTGTGTGAAAGATGCCTATCACATTTTTAAATTTTAAAACATTGGGAATATGAATAAACAAACGTTAAAAAACAAGACAAAATATCTTAATTATGGACTTCTCCCTCTAATGTCACTCAATTTCTCACCTAGTAAATTCAGATTATAGTAGAATATGAAAAAACCCCAAAAAGAATTTTTTTCTTCTTCGGGTAATCAGATTTAAATTAAAATTTTATGAATTACCATGTAATTTCTTTTATCCATAACGGCTGTCTTGGGCAACAAGAGTTTACCCCTAAGATAATGTTAGAGATGAAGGCATTTCAGCAACGAATTCAGTTGTCACCGACGCGAAGACCCGCCCCTTTATTTTGTTATGAAAAAAGTTTCACGTGTTTCCTAATGTGACGATGAAAACGGCGCTATACGAGTGGTTCGTTATTTCCATTTACGTGTTTTATAAGTTGACAGAACAAACTTTGAAGTTTTCTGAGCACATTCTCCATATAGCTTATGGAAATAAACAGATAGAAGAAATGGAATTGGCGAAAATTGCCAAAAATCTCGTCAAATGTGTAACTTCCGGAGAGGTAAGTCTAAATTGTTATCTGCAGTGTAAATGTTGTATACTGTGCTACGCCTCAAGTTACACGAAATTTGCGACAGAACTATTTTAAGACATTTTTTTACAATTAGTAAAGGACTTCGACATTTTAATTTTTTTTGGCAGTGATTGTTTTTAACACTCGTGCAGATTACATATTGCATGTAATCAGCATGTATATATTCTACAGGTCCAGTACAATCAGTATATTTAGCTACGTAGCTAAAATAACCTACCGTAGCTTTATTTACCTACCTCAGGTAGCTTTATTTTGCTATTTCAAGGCAACTTTTCACAATTTTGCTTTTTATTTTAAAAAGACAAAAAATCGCAAATACATGACTACTTATATTCGTACCATAGGACTGGCGGTAAATTCAGATTTTGCTTTGATGTTGCTGTGGTGTATTTACCAGAAGAATCACAGTTTTTTAAGTCACGCCCACCTTTTGGCATCAAGCCATGGACTGTGTCAAGACCTTGACTGATGAATTTCAAGACCTTGGCAATGGCTGATGAATGAATTAATAAGTCAACATTTTTAATTTAAAAAAATACTAACATTAGCTTGTCGGTGTTCGCTTAATAAATGGTTCTGTATGTTTTCTCCGCGTATCCTTAATCAGTAAATGATACGTCCTATCTCGAATTCTCGTTTTTTCTTTCCCATCTCCAAATACATTTAGCAATTTCACTTCAGAAGTCCCCCCAGTTTTTTTTTACTTCCAATACCATTTCAAACTTTCATTAAAACGTCACAAATCATTTCATTTTTTCTGTACGCCGATTGCCATAAAGATAAAGTTCAATGGCGATGTTTCCCATACCCATCCCCCTTTTTCAAAAAAAAAAAAGATGTAGAAGGATAAATTTTCTTTCAGAGTTAACAGCTTGAATATAAAAGCCTACAATCGCTACCCCTATACCTGTACCTGCAAAAAATCATGTTTTCTGCGTCTTCAACATTTCAAAGGTACAATATCTTCACACGTACGAATTCCGAATTTTTTATCAACAACTTGCAGTAGCAGTGCCGCAGTCAAGTATGATCCTTGCAGATGGAGACAGCTATTTATACAGACTCCGGACCATGGTTTGACACCTCGTAGTAGGCGGTGCTAATTAACAACTCGCTTTTCTCTCATTGGTCCTCTGGTACAAGTAACTTACACAATAGATATTAATTGGTTAGCTGTAAATACACTCACAGTTTTTATTCACTCGGGGCTCCGCCCCTCGTGAATGAAAAACTGTGAGTGTATTTACAGCTAACCAATTAATATCTATAGTGTAACTATAACTTATACTAGGGATTATTTAAAAAGCAATCCAAAGCAGAAATAGTTTTAACATTGCTGCGTTTGAACACTTTTAAGGAAAAGATGTATTTCCATTGTTTGAGTAACTGCTTGTACACCACCTTGTGTGCGATGGGGCGTGGATAAGTTCTCATTGTGCTCATGTTAACCAGAACTGGTTTTCTTTGTTATTTCATTCAAGAAGTAACTGTTTGGTCACAAATTAACTGTTGTATATAGCCCCAAAACTTTTGGAACTTTGATTGAGATTGCGCAGAAAAAGACACATCTCTAAGAGTGGTTTTTAGGTCACCTGAGTCACTCAGGTGACCTATTGCTATCCGTTCTCGTCCGTCGGCGTATGTCGTGCGTTAACATTTGAACATTTTTAGCTTCTTCTCTGAAACCACTTAACCAATTTCAACCAAATTTGGCATATAGCATCTATGGGTAAAGGGGAACAAAAATTGTGAATTTCATGGTCCCTGCCCCCCTGGGGCCTGAGGGGTGGGGCTAAAACCACCAAAAATAATGCAATCTTTAAAAATCTTCTTCTTTACTCCTGGACATCAAGCAGTCAAACTGTTGGCATCATTGTAATAAGCATTGAGCCCTCTACCAAAATTGTGAAATTCATGGCCCCAGGGTCAGGGGTTCTGGCCCCAGGGTGGGGCTATATAGATCATATAGTGAAAGTGCATTATTTCTTTGAAAATCTTCTTCTCTGCTCCTGGGTATTAAATAAGGTAATTAAGTACATAGTTATGAAGAGCAAGAGTGCCTCTTCCAAAATTGTGAATTTCATGGCCCCAGGGTCAGGGGTTCTGGTGTTAGGGCGGGGCTCTATAGATTATATAGTGAAAATGCATTAATTCTTTGAAAATCTTCTTCTCTGCTCCTGGGTATTAAATAAAGTAACTAAGTAAATAGTTATGATGAGGAAGAGTGCCTCTTCCAAAATTGTGAAATTCATGGCCCCAGGGTGGGGCTATATAGATCATATAGTGAAGTGCATTATTTCTTTGAAAATCGTCTTCTCTGCTCCTGGGTATTAAATTAAGTAACTAAGTACATAGTTAAGATGAGCAAGAGAGCCTCTTCCAAAATTGTGAAATTCGTGGCCCCAGGGTCAGGGGTTCTGGTGTTAGGGCGGGGCTCTATAGATTATATAGTGAAAATGCATTAATTCTTTGAAAATCTTCTTCTCTGCTCCTGGGTATTAAATAAAGTAACTAAGTACGTTATGATGAGCAAGAGTGCCTCTTTCAGAATTGTGAAATTCATGGCCCCAGGGTCAGGGGTTCTGGTGTTAGGGCGGGGCTCTATCAACTATCTAAAGAAAATGCATTAATTCTTTAAAAATCTTCTCTGCTCCTGGGTATTAAATTAAGTAACTAAGTACATAGTTATGATGAGCAAGAGAGCCTCTTCCAAAATTGTGAAATTCATGGCCCCAGGGTCAGGGGTTCTGGTGTTAGGGCGGGGCTCTATCGATTATATAGTGAAAATGCATTAATTCTTTGAAAATCTTCTTCTCTGCTCCTGGGCATTAAGGTGATAAACTAAGTACATAGTTATGATGAGGAGGTGGGCCCCTTCCAGAATTGTGAAAGCCATGGCCCCTGGGTCAGGGGTTCTGGTGTTAGGGCAGGGCTCTATTGATTATATAGTGAAAATGCATTAATTCTTTGAAAATCTTCTTCTCTGCTCCTGGGTATTATTTAAACAAACTAAGTGCATGGTTATGATGCATAAGGATGCCTTTTCAAAATTGTGAAATTCATGGCCCCAGGGTCAGGGGTTCTGGTGTTAGGGTGGGGCTCTATTGATTATATAGTGAAAATGCATTGATTCTATGAAAATCTTCTTCTCTGCTACTGGAGGTTATTTAAACAAACTAAGTGCATGGTTATGATGCATAAGGATGCCTTTTTAAAAATTGTGAATTTCATGGCCCCAGGGTCAGGGGTTCCGGTGTTAGGGTGGGGCTCTATTGATTATATAGTGAAAATGCATTGATTCTATGAAAATCTTCTTCTTTGCTACTGGAGATTATTTAAACAAACTAAGTGCATGATTATGATAGGCAAGGATGCCTCTTCCAAAATTTTTAAATACATGGCCTCAGTTTTTGGGGTTCTTGAGGAGGGGGGGGGGAGGGGGGCTCTATTGATTATATAGTGAAAATGCATTAATTCTATTAATTAATCATTAACTAATCCTGTATGCTCCCTAGTGTTGAGCTGATAAATAAATTGCTTAGCTATGATGAAGATGGGAGCTTCGAACAGAATTTTTAAATCTTGTGGTCCTAGGGTCAGGGGTTCTGGCATAACGAGGAAAGGGGGGGGGGGGGGCTTTTGATAATATAGTGGAAAAGTGTTAATTCTTTGAAGTCCATAGTTATGATGATGAGGGTAACTCTTCCAAATTTGTAAATTTCTTGACCTTTGGTCTTGGGTTCTGGTGTTAGGGTAAGGCTTTGTTGAATCTGTAGTGAAAATGCATTGTACCTGTGAAATTCTTCTCTGCTTCTGGGCATATCGAAAGCAAACTGAGTAAAAGTTTAAATGATATAAGTAAGCGTATTTCTACCAGATTTTTGAACATCTGGACAATTCGTCTAAGCATTCTGGTCCTGGGCAGGGCTCTATTAATTTGTATTCTACTGAGAGAAGTTATGCCCCTTTTCCATTCATCTTTGATAATTAATCACTGTAAATAATGTTTTTGAAAGGTTAATAGAATAAGATAATTATGCAAGAATGTTTATTGTATAATTCAAAAAGTACTTTCTTAGTTTTAATAATCAGGTAGACCTGTAAGTAATAGATAAATAAAAACGAGACAAAAATAACTTATCTTATTAAAAGTTCTTCAAAGACCATAAGAGAGGTCAATGCTAGAGGTCTTAATATGGGTTTAAAAATAGTACAGAAGCACTAATAGTTTGTTAATAGTCTGCATGGTGATAATATTAAGTGGGGAACAGATTAGAACTTAAGTTATGAGTTGATACTAAATACTAGACTAATTATTTTGTTGATCCTGATCTTCCTAACTTCTCTTGCTTTAGGGCAACAAAGCTTCATCTGTCAGTGTATTTAACTTCTAAATTGTTGTATTATACTCAGGTGACCGTTAAGGACCTTGGGCCTCTTGTTCATGAATTGTTTTCAGATGAGTTCAAAGTTAAAAATTATCACTGCTATGGCACGCCAAATTCACAAAAAATTAGATAAACATAGTTTAACAGTTGATAAACTAGGTTTATCGATTGTAAACTATAGTTTACAAACTGTAAACTATAGTTTACGAATCGTTAACTGTAGTTTACCTTTGCAAAACTATATTTAACGGTTGTATAGTGTAGTTTACAAATGCTAATCTATGTTTATCTGCCTGAAAATAAACGTTAACAATAGATTTTGCTGTTAAATATAGATTCTCATATGTAAACTATAATTTGCATTCGTTAACCATAGTTAAGAGTTGTTAATCAAAGTTTTACAAATCGTGAAACTATATTTATCAGATAAAATATGGTTTACATTCGTTAACCATAGATTTTGGTCATAAACTATATAGTTAACTGTCATTTATACTCACAAACTATATTTAACAGACATAAACTATACTTATCGATCGTAAACTATAGTTTTGAGAGCTAAACTATGATTCACATTTGCCAATCATAGTTTATCGTCATAAACTATAATTCACACTCGTAAACTATAGTTAAGAGTTGTTAAATATAGTTTATGAATCTAAACACCTGTTAACTGTGAACGATAGTTTTCAATTCGCCAATTGCGAGAAGCAATAATGGGGTATAGGTTTTATCAGTGCGGAGAATATTAAGGACACGTGTTCGGCATTATCTAAAGCAAAGACCGAGTTATATATAATCAATATTACTTTCTCTATTTAAACAGGATTAATTGTATTTGTTTTAAAATGTCGTGTATATATACACTTCCTATGGGAAATTTTTAAAAATATGATAAAATTTTAATTTCTTAAAAGACAGCTAGAATATTACGAGATTTTTGCTCAAGCAGAGGAGGGTGAAGCGCGTTTTATAATGTGCCAAGCATTTTCCCGCCACATCTCATCACCAAAACAAAGAAACTGAAAAAGAGGAAATGCAGTGGTGGATATAGATGGGGTTGTTGGGGTTTCAACGTCCTCCTTTGAATTTAAGAGAGAGAGAATGAGAGAGAAGTCCCAAATATTTGTTGTGTTTGTTCCGTAAAAGGCCACTTTTATTTATGTATGAAGAAAATTCGGTTGTTGAAAAATAAATTCCGCGCCTGCAATGTTACATGCTCTGTGTTATGTCTTTATTTACAGATTAATATAAGATATACATGTATTTTATTAATGATAGATCAGGCATTCCGGTCTCTATTTTTCTCTTTCAAATTAAAAAAAATAAAATTTTAATCAATAATTTTCCTGTCATATTTCTTTTTATTTCCAACTAGATTTGCTTTAAAATAATAGAACATTTACTTTTAATGCCAACAAGAAACATACATGCATATATATTTAACAGCAATTGTCGTTACATAGCAAAATCTAATAATGCTGTAACTAGGATTAGCCGATCTATAATTTACAAAAAAAACTTTTGTTAACTATAGTTTTGATCGTAAACTATGGTTTAGAGTCGTGAAATCTAGTTTCACAGAAAAATTGTGCATCTCCGATACAAAATAAGAGATTCTGTTCCTAAACTGTGTTTCTCAAGTGTAAAACTATGTTTATCGCATTTTTGTGAATTTGGCGCTTTGTATGTCTGTAAAGTATACTTTACAAAGCCTAGCTAAACTATAATTTACATTTGTTAAGTATAGTTTAGAGTTGTAAATCATAGTTTACAAATCATGAAACTATATTTATCAGATAAACTATATTTTGCAGTAGCAAATGATTGTTTTCCTTGTTAATTATAGTTTACGCTTGTGAAACATAGATTATCGTGTAAACTATAGTTTACAGATGTGAAATATAGATTATCATCGTTAACTATAGTTTATGGTCCGTAAACTATAGTTTACAGTCGATAAACCTAGTTTATCAACTGTGAAACTATGATTAGCTCATTTTTGTGAATTTGGCGTGCCATACACTGCATCAAAGTGCACTTTCTGGGAAAAATGCTAATTTAAGAAATAAGTTTGATTTAGTAGCTAAATAAAGGTACTTCAGGTAGGTAAATAAAGCATGTAGGTAATTCAAGCTTATGGAACGCCAAATTAACATAAATTCAAATATCTGAACCTATCTTCAATTAATTATACCTATCTTCAAATCAATTGTACCTATCTTCAAATCAATTGTACCTATCTCCAAATGAATTAAAGATAGGTTAATTCAATTATACCTATCTTTAAAATTCATTTGAAGATAGGTACAATTGATTTGAAGATAGGTACAATTGATTTGAAGATAGGTGCAAATGCCTTGAATTAAAGATAAGTAAAATTGATTTAAAGATAGGTGCAGTTGAATTGAACCTATCTTTAATTATTAAGATACTGACAATAACAACTACTCCCCATAAAAATGCAATGTGCAGTTCCCTCCATGTTAAAGTCGCTGTTGGAGCTTTCGTTATTTTCAATAACACAAAATGAATGAACCTAGGTATAATTGAATTGTACCTATCTTCAAATCGTTTGTGGATATGTTACAATTGTACCTATCTTGGAATCAATTGTACCTATCTTTAAATCAATCGTACCTATCTTCAAATGAATAGAAGATAGGTATAATTCAGTTGAACCTATCTTTAATTGAATTGAAGATAGGTGTAATTTATTTGAACCTAGGTTTAATTATTTAGAGATAGGTATGATTATTTACACCTATCTTTAATTCAAATGTACTTATCTTCAATTCATTTGGAGATAGGTACAATTATTTGCAATCTGATTAAGATCAGATCTTTGTTACGCTCCGAAATTCTGATGGTCGCTGTACAGCGACCATCAGAATTTCCAAGCGTAACAAAGATCTGATTTTAATCAGATTGAATTATTTGAAGATAGGTTCAAATATTTGAATATATGTTAATTTGGCGTTCCATACAAGCTACATAGCTAAATCTAGTGATTGTACACCAGACCTGTTCTACCTACCAAAAATTGAAAGCGCATCACCAATAAGTTATTCATAAGAAGTTATATGATGTCATTTTACATTGCAGATACTGGCCAATAGGAAGCAATCTATCACTTAAGGGAGGGGGGGAGGGCAATCAAGCTAAAATTCCTTGACAAGCAAAAAATGAACCAAGGTCATCAGACACTATTGAGGGGTTCAAGAATAAAGCAGCTATGTTACCTATAGTAACTTTATTGGCAAAATTATTCCCCCCCCCCCTTGCCCCTTCGTTCCAGTGGCCATAACTTGTTCATAATTAGTTATTTAAATGAAGGGACAGTACTTGTTAAACAGGCTTAGAAGTTTACTGTTTGGTAGAGTTGGTATAGGATTCTTCTGAATTACCTGTCACCTTAAAGGCTACTAATAATTTTGATAAAATGCAATACAAATACAATACATATGAATACTGTACCGTTACTAGTTAATGATAATTTCCTAAAATTTCTAACATCTTTTTAAAACAATTTCTCCGCAGAGTATTGCAGTGGAAACCTTTTGGCAGAAGCAGCCATGTGTGATAACTTTTCTGAGGCGGTTTGGATGACCTTTCTGTCGACTGAGTGCTAAGCAGCTCAGTCTCATCAAACCTCAGCTCGACACACACAATGTCCGCCTGATCGGGGTCGGCTTGGAGGAATTGGGTGTCGAGCAGTTTATCCAGGGAGGGTTCTTCAAAGGAGGTTTGTATCTTCATGTTTCAGAATTATGTGTGTAGACATAAGAATGCAAAGGGAATTTGTTTTTATGCCCCCATATCGAAGATTTGAGGGTATATAGTTTTTGCGCTGTCCATCTGTGTGTCTGTTTATCTGTTTGTCCGCAAAAACTTTAACATGCCCATATTTTTTTATTGGTTGGAGCTATGGCTTTCATATTTCACATGAATATTCCTTGTGCCAAGACCTTTCTTTGGATACCATCATATTTGACCTTTTGACCTTGACCTTGGAGTTTGACCCAGTTTTACAAATTTACCCAACTTTAACCTTGGCCATAACTTTTGAACAGTTGGTGCTAGGGCTTTCATACTTCACATGTGTAATCCTTGTGACAAGACCTTCCTTTGGATACCAACAACTTTGAGCTTTTGACATTGACATTGGAGTTTTACCTACTTTTGATAAACTTTAAACTTGGCCTTATCTTTTGAATGGTTGGTGCTAGCTAGGGCTTTCATATTTCACATGACTGTGTATTTCTTGTGAGAAGGCCTTTCCTTGGGCACCATTAATTTTTGACTATTAGACCTTGACCTTGATGTTTGGCTTACCTTTGAAAATTTTTTTTTAACCTTTTTCATATCTTTTTAATGTTTGCTGCTAGAGCTTTCATATTTTACAGGTATATTCCTCGGGACAAAAACTTACTTTGGGTACCAACATATTTGATTTGCATTTGAGAAAGTTTAACTTTCGCAATAAATTGCCATATGGGGGCATCAGTGTTTCACAAACACATCTTGTTTTTTCCTGTTTTTCAAATAAAATTGATTGAGAGTATCATTATTGTTTTGCATGTATAAACATCTGGTGAAGGAAAATGTTTTAAAGTACATACTTGATTTAGATTTTTTTCTTTTTTAATATCACAAACTTGAAAATACAACTCCATATTAACTAATTAACCCTTCAATATGCCTGTTTTTAGTATAGTTTAGTTATATTTATCACTTTGCATGTTTTCAAGTATATTTAGATAAAAATCTGTAGTTTCCATTTACATATGAGAGGACAATATAAAGGCAGCAAACAGTTATTGAAATTATGTCATTCCCAGATCTCAAATCAATGTACATTGTATAATGGGGATTGTATGAAGTAGCTTTTCCATTAGAATAATTCATTATTGGTGCCCTATTGTTTGTGGAAACCTTGATCTTTGCAAAAGGATTATGAGATATTATGTACCTTATTGTCATCAGCAATCAGAAACAGAAGCAAGTAGAAATTATGGTTATAACAAGAAATCTGAGCTTGATCTTTATCAGCATTTTGTCAATAAAATAATGCATTTTTTACATCAGAGCACAACCATGTTATTTTCTAAGTTAATTCGGTTTCCAACCTGCAAGTGTGGGTTTAATCAAATTAATGTTTCTTAAAAGCATCATTTGATTATTAGATTGTTTTGCTTTATTTTATTAGCTGTATAGTATTATGTTGTTCAATATCTAACATGTTAACCTAGTATATAATGTGAATTGTGTTTCCCTTTTTAGAGCTCTACATTGACACAAAGAAACAATGTTATAAAAAGTTAGGATTTAAAAGGTAAAGAATTACAGCAATCACATCGTCTTTATTGCATACAATTAGATTTTTTTGATGATTAGTTCATGAGTGAAGTTGGAACTAAAATGTGAAGATTTTTCTTATTTAAGTTGTATTACTTGTGATACTTTGAGCCATACATTTTCTCCTTTCCTGTTACAAAGTTATTTTTTAAACATAGGTTGAATCTACTGAGTGTTTTTCCCTCAATGCTCACCAAATCATCTAGAGATGCTTTAAGTAAAGTAAGTTTTTTTTAAGAACCCTCTGTACACTGCACACTAAAAGAGTTCTGATTCTGATATTTTTCTGCAGTTAGAGTGATCTGCCCTGAGATCTCAATTCCAATAAAATGAAATTTACAGTATATTACTCAATTTGTAATCAATTTATATTCTTAACATTTTAAAAAGGCCAAGATAAATTAATTGAACACTTTATTTGCAAGTATTTTCTCCACGGACGTAAACAGTAGTGATTTCTGTTCAATGATACTTTGTCGTCTCTGAACATTTTACCTGGAGGAAAACGCCACGTACCGTATATTGAAAATTAGATAGATAAGCTCAATATTTACACCTTTATTTAATATAATTTTCTCAATGTCCAAAAACTTTTTGCAATGGTGTATAGAGGGTCCTTAATTTGTTGATGCTGGAACTCAATGCATTAAATTAGCTAAAAGATTTAAGTTAAATTAAATAATGATTTATTTAAAAAGTTAAAAAAGTACTTTTATAATAGCAGACCTATATACTAACATAGTATATAGGTCCCTGATAATAGAAATTTATTAAAAAGTGATTTAATAAGCAATGTGTATTATTAATTTTTGTAGATCTTAACATTATGTAAATTTTTTGTCACAAAATATTGAAATCACATCGAATTCAAAATATTGAAATCACATCAAATTTTTATCAACTAATTTGTATAATTTAGGCAAATCAAGAAAATATAAGTGGTGATTTCAGAGGAGATGGTTTCCAAAATGGAGGAACCCTTGTGGTAGCTCCTGGTGAGTATATTGTGTTAGACTCTCTTGGTTCAATAACTGCATGTGTTCGTTTTACTTTTAAAAGAGAAAAAGGATCATAGCTCATACTAGGTCTGAGAATTTTGCCTTTGAAGAATTCCCATTTTGCTTTTGTACTTGACATCAAATTGTCTACATCGTACTTATGGCACACCTATTTCACCAAAAAAAAAAAATGAACTTACATTGTAAAATAGTTTCACAGTTGATAAACAATCATTTGTGATTGCAAAACATAGTTTAATCTAATAAATACAGTTAAGTGAATCATAAAATATGGTTAATCTGAAACAAGGAATCAAGGTACATGTCTCTTCATGATTTATTTCTTATGAACCCTGAGCTGCTGAGGGAATTCATGTCCTATGGATATGTTTCTAGTTCTTAGGAAAAATCTTATGCATTGTTATTTATTTCAGGAGGAAAAGTTTTATTGTCCTTCAAACAAGAAAATCCTAGTGACCATGTTGAAACCAGTGAGATACTCCGAGTGCTTGGAATCAAGAGTCAGAGTCCTAGCTTATGTTTTCTCCATTAGTCCATGACTGACCTAAAAAGGGCATTAATTAACTAGAATTTAATCAATTTATCACTCACGCATCACTCCAAAATTTTGTATGTACATGCATGTGTCTGATTTGGAAAAATGCAATAACAAATGTGATTTGTGTTGTATGATGCTTTTCCTATAATTGTAAGCTAAAACCTTCTTTTTTTGAAATGCTCAATTCTTTTGATTATTTTGATGTTAAATATTATACAATATACAGTGTAGTCACTTCATTTATAATTAACATACTTTATTTTTTTAAAAAAAGGAAAACCTCTACTGCTGATTCAAAACATAACACAAATAATCATTTCTCAGGTAATTTTTTTTTTGCTGCATTTAATTAACCTTGCGTTAATCCATCCATTTGTATAAGTTTTTTTTTTAATTTTATTTTATTCTTGCATTTACATTGACCTGTTATTTTTGTATACGTTTGCTGTCCAAGGGTGAAATATTTGCACACTAATGATACTGAGCACAGAAAATATGATAATGTGTTCAGTGGAGATAAATGTGTAATGTTTTGCATCTTTGTGCCAAATAGTCAGTGGTATACAGCTAATAAATTGCTCAAGATCTCTTTCATTTTTTAAATTTTAATTGGAGTACAGGTAAAGAAAATTTTCAGGTCCAAGGTTGGAGGAAGTTAGTCATGTGCTGAAGGCACTAAGTGGTTGGGCTGTGGACATCAGCCTGTGGAGCTCGGTTGGTACAGTGTCTGACTAGCAATGCAGGGGTCCCAGGCACAATTCCTAGCTTCGGGGCCATAAAACTTAGACGAGCTCACTTTTGATCTCAGTCTCACTTTTACTAAAGGAATGTATAAGGGAAAAGTGAGACTGAGATCAAAATTGAGATCATCCAAGTTTTATGGCCCCGGAGCCTGGTCTTACAATACATTTTCTTTTCTGTTACATAAATTGGTGTTGTTTACCACCCCTGGACTTGCAGATGAAAGTCCTGCCAGGGGCATATTAAGAACTTGGGTGGTGCCTTTGAGGGTGAAGGCAAAGGAGGGAGGAGTGTTAAGATTTGGGACGTGTATCGACCTGGATAAGTCAGTTGGTAGAGTACCTGTCTAGTGATACAGAGGTCCGTTGTTCAATTCCAGATCCAGCCATGAGCTTTAAGCTTACCTGAGCTGAAAGCTCAAGTGAGCTTTCCTGATCATCCGGTGTCCGTCTGTCCGTCCATCTGTAAACTTTTCACATTTTCAACTTCTCAAGAACCAATGGGCCAATTTTAATCAAACTTGGTACAAACCTTCCTTGGGTAAAGGGAAGTTTAAATTGTTAAAATGAAGGGCCAAGCCCCCTTCAAAGGGGAGATAATCAAGAAAAGACAAATATTTGGTGCGGTCATTAAAAAATCTCCTCTTCAAGAACCACTGGGCGAGAAAGGCTGAAACTTATGTGGAAGCATCCTGGGGTAGTGTAGATTCTAAATTGTTCAAATCATGACCCTGGGGATATGGCGGGGCCACAATAGGGAATCCAAGTTTTACATTGAAATATATAGGAAAAAACTTTAAAAATCTTCTTCTCAAGAACTACTGGGCCAGAAAAGCTGAAACTTGTGTGGAAGCATCCTGGAGTAGTGTAAATTCTAAATTCTTCAAATCATGACCTCTGGGGGTAAGGCAGGGCCACAATAGGGAATCTAAGTTTTGCATTGAAATATATAGGAAAAATCTTCTCAAGAACCACTGGGCCAGAAAAGCTGAAACTTGTGTGGAAGCATTCTGGGATAGTGTAGATTCTAAATTGTTCAAATCATGATCCCAGGGTAGGGTGGGGCCACAATAGGGAATCCAAGTTTTACATTGAAATATATAGGAAAAATCTTTAAAAATCTTCTTCTCAAGAACCGCTGGGCCAGAAAAGCTGTAGGGTGGGGCCACAATAGGTATTACTCCTTCCCTGTTACAGTGGAGTCTCGATCATTATTATGATGTTCATTTTGTCATAATAAAATAGCGTAAAATCGATGGCATCGTAATAAAAGTTTTTAAAAAAATCCATTGAAACATACATTTTGATAGCCAATGTTATCCGTAGATAAGGTGTTTTTCTATACTTTAATCTTCCCTTCCATCTTAATTTCTTAGTTAACAATGACACTCTAATTTATTGAAATCTTATCTTAAAGACACATGCTAATACATGCATTTGCAAATACATGCATAGTATTGCAAATGTAACATGTACCAAATGTGCTTCATTAAATTAGTCGAACGCATTTCCTTTCTTCAAACTAAAGTGTTACGTTTAGAATTGTGAAACAGTTAATTGTCTAGGATTAAAAGAGTTCTCAGAAGAAAAATTCTTTGACAAAGCACTTTTTTTGTTAGGATTAACTAAAGCTATATCAATTGGAAATTTATGAGAGAAAAAATGCATATGATTAGTGCAGTTTAAAACTTATATTAAGACAAAGAAATTCCCTATTTTCTTTCTATTGTAAAGAGTTAAATACAAGGTCATTGTTGAAATCTTTGAAAAGTAACTGTTTTGTCAGCTGAGCTCTAGTCATCACATGACCAGTAACCGTTCACTGCTATCAATCCAAAGCCTGACAGCTCTTATTGACTACTTGGACTTATGTAGATAAATGATTTTCAATGGTTATTGTCATTGCATTATTTGCATCAATTTTAGATAATAACGAAATCAAGGGGGCCCCTTTCAGTTTTTTATGCCCCTGCATCGAAGATTCAGGGTATATAGTTTTTGCCCTGTCCATCTTCTGTCTGTTTGTCTGCAAAAACTTTGAAATTGCCCTTAACTTTTGACTGGTTGGAGGTATGGCTTTTGTATTTCACATGTGGATTTCTTGTGACGAGACCTTTTTTTGGATACCATCATATTTGACCTTTTGATCTAAGAGTTTGACCCTGTTTTGCTAAATTTTACCCAACTTTAACCTTGGCCATAACTTTTGAACAATTGGTGCTAGGGCTTTCATACTTTAAATGTGTTATCCTTGTGACAAGTCCTTCCTCTGGTTACCAACAACTTTGACCCTTTGAAATTGACCTAGGAGTTGACTTTTGAAAAACTTTAAACTTGGCCATAACTTTTGAACAGTTGATGCTAGGGCTATCACACTTCACATATGTAATTCTTGTGACAAGACCTTTCTTTGAATACCAACAACTTCAACCCTTTGACCTTGACCTAGGAGTTTGACCTACTTTGGAAAACTAACTTTGGCAATAACTTTTGAACAGTTGGTGCTAGGGCTTTCATATCTCACATATTTAATCCTTGTGAGAAGGCTTTTCATTGGGCACCATTAATTTTGACCTTGATCATGATGTTTGACTTACTTTAAAAAACTTTAATCTTTTCCATATTTATTCAATGGTTGCTGTTAGGGCTTTCATATTTCGTAGGTCGCAGTACCATACTTCGGGGACCAACATATTTGATTTGCATTTGAGAAAGTTTAACCTTCGCTATAAGTTGCCATACGGGGGGATCAGTTTTTCACAAAAACTTCTTGTTTTTTTAATTGATATTCAAAATTTACGTTTCAATGTATCAGATTGAGTGAAATTAAAGAAAATGAGAGAAGGATATAAACAAAAATTTGCAATTTCTTGTTAACATAACCCATGCATGGATAATTTTTGTTTAATCCAGATACTTGACATTTAAAACAAAGCCAATTAAAAATCTTGAAAATCTTTTTAGATTAGACATTTTCATTCTAGTAGAACAAATTATTTTCAATGTGCACAAACATTTCTTTGATTCAAGAAAATGAATCGGAGTGCAACTTTGGTATAATTTTTGACTTGTTTGAAAATCTTATTTACTTTTAAAGGAAAAAAAAAAACAAGATGTAGTTGTGAAACACTGATGCCCCAGTATGGCAGCTTATGATGAAGGTTAAAGTTTTTCAAATGCAAGTCAAACTCCAAGGTCAAGAGATCAAACATAGGTAATCAGAGATTACAGAGCTCACCTCAACGAATGTTGTCTTTATGTAAGGCAAAGTCCCACACTAAACTAATAATCTAGGAGTGTGCATCCCTAGATACAACATTTATGCAATTTTGGTCTGATAGGGCTTGCAGTTCCTTGGGAGTAGACTTACCTGAAAACTTAAAACTAGTCACTCATCCAGAAAATGTAAGTCAAATCCAGCATCCGAAGCAAGTTTTTAGATTGTTCGTCCCTTGATGCATCATCCATGCAAGTTTGGTTCAGAAAGGCCTTATAGTTACTTGGAAATGAGATCTGCTCCAAAAACTTTAATCTGGTCACTCATCCGGAAAATATAGGTCAGATCCACCATCCGAAGCAAGTCCAGTAGTGTGCATCCTTAAATGTATCATCCATGCAAGTTTAGTCAATATAGGGCTTATAGTTACTTGGAAATGAGATCTGCTCCAAAAACTTTAACCTGCTCCAAAAACTTTAACCTGCTCCAAAACATTAACCTGGTCATTCTTTAGCTGAAATTGCAGCATCTGAAACTTTGACTGGTACAATGAAACACACTAGAAGCATCCTCCATGCATCTCTGACTAATATAGGCCATAGAAGTACTTGAAAAGAAAACTGCTTCAAAAACCTTAACTGGGACGCTGACACCGATGGTATTACATAAGCTCCCCCAACTTCGTTGAGGTGAGCTAAAAATGTTGTTACCCTAAAAAAGGACTTGTTCAGTGAATTTACCTGTAAAATATGAAAGCCCAGGCACCAACCATTCACAAGTTATGGCCAAAGTTAATTTTTTTCTTTTAAAGTGGGTCTAACTCAAAGGTCAAAGTCAAAACTTCATAATTAATGGTACCCAGGGGAAGGTCTTGTCACAAGAAATATACAAGTGAAATATATAAGACCTAGCACCAACTGTTCAAAAGTTATTGCCAAGTTAAAGTTTTTCAAAAATAGGTCAAACTCCAAGGTCAAGGTCAAAATTGTTGGTATTCAAAGGAAGGATATGTCACAAGGAATACACATGTGAAATATGAAAGCCCTAGGCCTAGAAATAAATGTTCAAGAGTTATGGCCAAGGTTAAAGTTTTTTGAAAGTGGGTTAAGCTCCAAGGTCAAAAATATTTATATCCAAGGAAAGGTCTCATCACAATGAAGTACGAAGGCCCTAGCATGAATATTATTGTTAAAAGTTATGGCCAAGGTTAAAGTTTGGTAAATTTTTGCAAAACAAGGTCTAAAGGGTAAGGTCAAGAGGTCAAATATGTTGGTACCCCAAGAAAGGTCTTGTCACAAGGAATGCACATGTGAAATAAGAAAGCTGTAACTCCAACCAATTGAAAGTTATGGGCAAGGTTATAGTTTTTGCAGACAGACAGCTAGACAGACAGATAGGCAGACGGACAGACAGGACAAAAACTATATACTCCCCGAATCTTCGTTTACAGGGGGCATAAAAAATCTGACCAGTTGTTGTGGTTTAAGCAGAATCATGAAAACCTTTGATTCAGTTGAGATACAGATAAAAACTTGTTAATGCATGTTTCTATTTTATTCAATGAAAAAAAAATCAACACACACAGTAAATATGTAAACAATATGTATGGCATAATGGATTTTATATTATCATAGGATGAATGAATCGTACAGATCTAAAATATATACCAAGAGACCCTGGGAAAGAAAAAGAACAAAGGTTTTACCAATTCTCCTTGAGCTATCGAATCTCTTTTAGAAATGCAAGCATTTGAGAGACAATTAAATCATGAGCTTTTTCTAGCAAACATGACAATAATGAAAAATAGTTTGAGCTTGTACAAGCCAAGTCACAATTTAATTCACTATCTAAGGAATGTTAGTAAGTAGGAATGTTAAATAAATTATACATCCCTTCCCTAAGATGAACGACTTTTTTCTCATGTTCTGTGTACAAACGTAATGTAATCCTTCATTTTAATAATAATAAAAAAAAATTAACAAGCCCTCTTATTTGTATTAAAAGATCATATGCAAGCATTTGTACAGGAAAAAAATTTTTTTATATTATTTTATAATGAAAAAGTTACTTTCTTTTTTACATTCATTCGGTTTAACAAAAAACGATCTATTGCTGAACAAACATCCCACATACCTTTTATGTCATTACATTTCATCAATCAAAGACAATAGTTGTGTACCAAATTCTAATAACCTTTTTAACATTTGTTGTTGAAACTAATTATTAAAAAGATCATGGGAAAAGTAACATGTTATGTTCAAACACAAAACTGAAAATATCTAGTACATATATTTTGTGACACACACAGGAAAACTATATGTAAATGGACTATGTATGCCAGGTATTATTAAGACATAAAAATGTGTGATACATTCATTATAAATACTCATTTATAGAGATTAACTCTGACCACTAACAAAAAAAATAAAATTGTGGGACATATTAAAAAAAAATTACATGTACTACACATTTAAACTGCACAGCTAACAAGGGAGATAATCCAGATCCACAAAGCTCCTCTGGCAAGATGATGTATGCAGACAGAGAGATTTAAAGGACAGATTTCAATTAGCACAGGAAAATCTTAAACAAAAAAATCTGCAAGAGTCTTTGTTAAAATTCTACAGCAAATTGTATTCCCCACCTAAGTAAAATCAGTCTGAATTAAATAGTCAGTTCTTGCTTCTAGTACAACAATTGCTGAAATATTGTAAAGATCCATCTTCTCACAGATTCCTTCAAGTTATAATTTATTACATGTTTATAAATAATAATTATCACCAGGTATTCTGTAGCATTCATCTCTTGCACAGTTCTTTCAAACATTTTTTTTTTGAGTCTGAAAAAAAAAAGAGAAAAAAATGTTTGTAATAAATCATGGAACGTTTATGAGCTTCACTGCTCATCTGAGAAACATAGCGGAATTTATCGGCTTTATTTAAGGAATAATAAATTGTCTAATTTCTAGGATTCATGATGTGATCAATCGAGTGGCTTGCGTGATAATTTGCATAAACGCCGAAGGCGTTTATGCATAAAATTATCACGCAAGCCAATCATTTGATCATCGTCATGAATCCAAAAAATCTGACAGTTATTCCATATATTTACATGCTCCTGATTCTGCAAATTCCTGTGCTAATAGCCCCTCTTCTGTCTCTATTTGTCCCGCCCTGCACATGATTTTTTTTAACCGCGCCTATTGATGAACCAGTAGATTTATGTAGAAATAAAGTATTTTTACAATTTGTAATTTTATCTCGGACAAAGACATTGGAAATGTAAATATTACTGAATACATGTAAATAAATTTACTCTGCAGTTGCACTGCACACTATCAAGTCTCTTCAAGCAATCAGAAATTGAAACATTCTTTAACCTGGGCAACAGGAATTGGTGATTGACCCAACACCAACATTACTGAGACAATTAAAAAGACTTCCCTGGAACATTTGAGCCCTGTTGTGTGCTGTTTTAGTTTTATTAGAAGACTTTAGATAAAAGACTTTTTCTTTAAAAGCTATTTAAATTCTACTTTTTTAACACAGTTTCTGTTGGAGCATTTGCTTGTAATATAAAAACAGTTCCATCCATTTGCCTCTCCTCTGACATGTCTTACCTCAGAAGTATTTACAATGTATTTTCATATCAGTGAATTAGTGTAACCATAAAAAGGAACAAGAACATCGGCTTGGCCAAGATCAGGTGCCCATTTCCAACTAAATGATGTTATATAGATGTAACTCTTTATAGTTACATATAATCTAAGTGTCTTTTGTTGCATTGCAAAGATCAGAATGAGAGCTTTCCATTGGTATATAATATCATATATATAGTATCTGCATTTTTGAAAAAAACAACAGAATACAGTCAAAGATTCATAATTTTTGAAGCGTTATGCTGTTGCACTTGATTTTTTACATTTTAAATAATGGTTAATTAAAATTATTTTGAATGAAGCATTCCAAAATAAATGTACTTTATTATAGAGAAATCATTCTGGTTAAGTTTATTTTTTACAGAAAAGAAAAAGGATAAAAATTGTGGAAATTATGAATAAATGTATGCAGATATACCCTTGTTATATAATTTAAGATTTATCAATGTCTGAATAAATGCATAAATTTCTATCAAAAAACAGCAAATATAATTTGTTTAAAATTTTTTATTTAACTTAAGAAAAAAAGTACTATGAGAAAAATATAGTGGTTATATTGTAAAATGTGTGCGCATTTTGTATTTTATTTTCCATACTGGTCTAATATTTTGTATAGTCCGTAGCCCCATATTTCATTATAGTTTGTTTTCAACAAAAGAATGTAGAATTAATCATGCTCTTGTTTAATATTTTCACAGTTTCCAGTAAAGTAAAAAACAGTAATGAATAGCTTTTGCACTAACACCGAAAGAAGTTATAGAAGAATGATTGGTGTCCGTAGCCCCAATATAATAACTTCCAGAAAAAGTCATATACATTATTGATACAATAACTACAATACAAAAATATCTTTATTCGAACAAATGCAATGTTTTTAAATACAAATACCACTGTAATTAAAAATAAAATATCTGAAAATTAACATTTTTCAACTAAAGGCTTGCTTCTGTAGTCTGTCCTGTTATGTTTGATTCACAACAAATTTCTAAATATACATGATAATGTTTTCCTTCTTGTGATACATACTATCAATCCATTTACAATGATTAGCATTGGAATATTTTTAAAAGAATATTTAGCCACACAAATCCTACTTACAAAAGGGCTACGGACTCTACAAATAAATTTAGCAAATTTACAGACCATATAACCGTACTTCTGTATTAGCAAGAGATTTTTTTCCTACTTGTATCTACAGCAAAATGGGGGATTCAATGGTTTATTAGTTCTCATCGACCAGTCTTAACATCCCATTGTAGGATTTGTGGGATTTGATCCCAAAACATAAGGATCAACTCCTTACTTTGCAATTTAGTACAAAGTGAGGCTTTCACCCTTACAATTGCGCCGCCCAATCTACTTGTCACTGAATTGTTAATTTAAAAAAAAAAACACTGATTCTTTATGGGTAATATTGTACTATTATGTTTTTTATTTCAAATGGTCAATCATGTTTTGCAATTTATTTTTGTTTTGAATTACACCATATGATTATGATAAATTATATACTGATACACTTTTTGAATGACTATCTTGAGTTATATGCATTACATTAAATCGAAAAAAAAATATGAAGCAATAATGAATATAGTCCGTAACCCCTCCCCCCACACACAAATCATGCCTTAAATTGATTTAATTTCAGCTCCTGTTGCTTTTATTCATTATAGTTTGAACAGCAATTATGCTTTAATTAGTTGAACTGGAATTTCATTTGGCATTGAAAGTACTATAATTAGACAATTGATTTTTAAGTATGGTATTATAAATACTCAAACTAAGTGGTGTGAACTGTTATAGAAAACCAATTCATAAAAAAATTGCCCAAAATTTAATTAAACAATTATATTTTCTTTAAGTTAATTGTCCACAATAGAAATGTTTAACGGTATAGTCCATAGCCCCCGTGCTTACATGAAATTTATCCTTCTTAGATGCTAAATTAAAGTTCATTCTTGGTCTTTAGATGGTTTTAAACAATATTTTATTATCAAACACCTATTACATGTAATTCTGACATGTATTATTTTCTTCTGACTATTTATATTTTATTCTTATTGTGAATTTATATAAAGTTTTTGTTTTATTTTGTTAAATTTCACAGGATTTTGTATAAATTGATTTAATATCCAAAATGAAAGGATTTATTAAACACATGTGAACTCCAAGATGATAATTTTAACAAATATTTACTGAAAAAAGCAACTATTTTTCTATGGTCTCTCATTAAATGAAAATACTATATGTATAGTCCGTAGCCCAAGGTCTCAAAATAGTCAATCAAAAAATACCTGACACAGTTTTTCTCTGAGTATTACCAAATAAGTTTGAAATTCTCATCCCCATATACAGTATATTTAGAAAAATTGAAAGTACTTTAATGTATTTTCATTTCAAATGTCCAAATATTAAGAGTAGAAAAACTCTCAAAGATTAACAAATTTACCCATGTCCTTTATATACGGTAACATTTAAATGGAAATGAATTATGTGATTTGTTTTGCTCAGACAATATTTTGTGAAGAGTTTGTATTTGAAATATACTTTTTTTGTTAAGTTGAATATGATCAAGATGAATGTTATGCCTGAATATGTATACATGTAGTCCGTAGCCCATTTGGGTCTCTGCTATAGTGAGAGTGAAATCTTTTTAACCGCTTGACAGAAATGGACAGAAATTTCAGACAATCTGCCAAAAGGATATAGTGTTACATAGAACATACTTGTAATACATTTCATTTGACTTCATTTTTTTGTTAATCTGCAACCAACATGGGCACCTGATCTTGGCCAAGCCGACATATTTTTGAGGTGTCAAATTTTTGTGGTTTAAGAAAAAATAATGTTTGAGGGGATTTGATTCCATGGTTTAAAAAGGACCATTATACTGTATTACAAAATTTCAACAGTTCGTTCTGGATATGAATTTGTGGTACTCTTCATACCCTGAAAACAACAAAATTTTAACCCCCATGAGATTTAGTGATTTCACAGTAAAATTTTAATAAGTGCTCATTTAAAATGTACCTTAGTTCTTCTCCCTTCTCTCACGGTCCCGGTAGCTCCGCCTCTTGTTGGGGTCAGGGAGTGCTTTTCTATCTGACCTTTCACCTCTGCGTCTATACTCCAGACCTCTCATCGATTCCCTTTTCTTCTCTTGAAATTCTCGATCAAACCTCTCTTTTTCACCTGGTAAAATTGTTTTAAAATCATCATATATTTAAACAATGTGAAAGAAAGAGAGGGAGAGAGAGAAAAAACAACTTAATTAAAAAAAGTCCATTAAAAAATTGTATGTCTTAATACTTTTTTGTTTATAAATTTTAAGACATCAAATACTGAACTTCATGTTACACATGATGAGCTACAATCCCCTCTTCCCCCTCCAACTATTTTTAAAGAATTCATAGTTAGTTGGTGATTTTTAAACATCCATGGTACTTGTCATGGGAAACTCTTCAGAAAAAAGGAGAAATGTCAACTAAAAGTACTTGATTTTATACAGAATAAACCAAGTTACAACTAATGAATTCATGTAATGCCAGAGTAATGTAGTAAAATATCAATTCTCTCTATTCCCTCTCTCTTAAGCATATAGCAATAAATCAATTAAAAAAAAACAATGTATGGTACTGCATATTAATTAAACTCCTACTTTCTTCCAAGTTAATGAGCTCTTGTTCCTCCTCGATATCCCCACCCCTGCGCCGGGTTTTCTGGATGATGTGAGCTCGATCCCTTATGTGGTGTCCAATTGCCATTTTGTCACCCCTTTCTGAATCCCTTACAGTTTTTCTGGTTTCTTTAACCTGAAATTAAAAAAAATCAGTATTCATACTGTTTAATTAATGCCCCATTTTTACTCATTTCAATAATTAATAAAACCAGAAGTCTCTGTCGAGACTGTAGCTCTACTTGTTTGTACTTATAACAAAGGAAGAGAATAGTAGCACTTGGACTTGAAACTTTGCAACAGCAATAAATAAATAATAATCCTTGTTTTACTCTCTTTTTGCTGCAAGATGAATTGCAATTAGACTAAAACTGTAGAAAGAGTAGCCTTTTAAAAGAATTTTAGAGAAATTTTGATTCTAGTTACCATGGCAACGTCATTCATCAAAATAAAAAAAATAAAGACTATTATGTATCTCAGTGTAGTCTACTTGCATGCCATGTTATATTAAAATCAGACCAAACTGTAGGCGAAGTAATATTTTGTTTGTTTGTTGTTTAATGTCCCTCTCAAGAATTTTTCACTCATATGGAGATGCCACCACTTGCCGGTGGAGAGCTGTAAATTTTGACCTATGCTAGGCACTCGGGGCCATACAGCAGTAAGAGATCTTTTTCGTGCCAGCACCTACTGTGACATGGGACCTTGGTTTATAGTCTTTCTCATCCAAAGGACCGGTCTCCATGTCCCACAGTGGGATTCAAACCCGCAATGTAAGGATCAATTCCTTACTCTGCAACTCTAGAGCAGATGTTCTACCACTGCGCCACGTGGGTGACAAGTAATGTTTTGAAAGTATGTCAAAGAAATTTCAGCTTTTTTGTAATCATGGCAACACTTCACCAAAATCAAAAAATAGATATACAGAATTACATACCTCAGTGTAATCTACTTGTGTGCCAAGTTATATTGAAATCAGACCAAAACTGTAGGAGGAGTAGAGCTTTGAAAGTATTTCACAGAAATTTCTATTTTTAGTAACCATGGCAACACCGTTCATCGAAATCAAAAACCGATATACAGAATTATGTATCTTAGTGTAGTCTACTTGTGTGCCAAGTTATATTGAAATCAAATCAAAACTGTAGGAGGAGTAGCATTTTGAATGTATTTCACAGAAATTTCTAATTTTAGAAACCATGGCAACACCATTAATCGAAATCAAAAACCAGTAAACAGAATTATGCACCTTATTGTAGTGTACTTGTATGTCAAGTTATATTGAAATCAGACCAAAACTGTAGGAGGAGTAGCATTTTGAAAGTATTTCACAGAAATTTCTATTTTTAGTAGCCATGGCAACATCGTTCACCGAAATCAAAAACCGATACACAGAATTATGTATCTTAGTGTAGTGTACTTGTGTGCCAAGTTATACTGAAATCAGACCAAAACTGTAGGAGTAGTAGCATTTTGAATGTATTTCACAGAAATTTCTATTTTTAGTAACCATGGCAACACCGTTCATTGAAATCAAAAACCGATATACAGAATTATGTATCTTAGTGTAGTGTACTTGTGTGCCAAGTTATATTGAAATAAGACCAAAACTGTAGGAGGAGTAGCATTTTGAAAAATTGTTTACAGACAGACAGACAGACGGACAGACAGACGGACAACTTAGTATCGCATAAGCTCTTCTGTAGCCTTTTCCACAAAAATTCTTACGACTAAGATTAAAATTTGACAAGTTTGTAATTTTTTTGTTTAATGAGGAAATTTATTATTTTAGAAAAAATAATTCACAATATACTATCATGTAATTAAATATAAGATTTTTTGTAACCTGCTACAATTTAGGTACATACAGAAGAATTGGAAAATTTTAATTTTAATCATAAGATTTTTTGTGAAAAGGTCTACAGGTCTCTGACCAGTAGAGCTAAAAATACAGTAAAACTGCCATTTAAAGTGATTTGATGCATTCATGATTTTTTTTTAAAAAAAAACTTATTTTCAAACACTGCTAGTGGTACTAATGAATGAACTTACACTATTGATAATAAACTGACAAAATAAAAAGTGTTTCAAAGCTTTAAAATTTCAGCTTATTGCTCCCCAAAATGATCTAATTGGTCTTTTTTAAAAAAGATTTCAAAACCCTTTGTCAAAGTAGAAAAACTTTTAAGTACCTAATTTACTTTTAAATATGCCAGGAACAATTTGTAGAAATGCTATAATTTAACAAAACACATGGAAGCGACAATATTATACAATTATAGCACGATTGTGAGGAAAAGATGAAGATTTATTCAGCCAAGAAAAATCATATTCCCCGAGGGCTTCACCCGAGGGGAATATGATATTTCTTGGCTGAATAAATCTTCATGTTTCCCAAACATTCATGCAATAAATTGTTTATTATACCGAAACAAGCAAAAACTTTTAAAATAAACATTAACTTTCAAATTTGGCACTGCACTTAAATTCTCTTTCAATTTTAACATTGTGTTACTGAAACAACCATCAGCAATTTTGTGACGTGAACCAGACTATTGTGATGTCTTTTACTCTCGGGAGTTTTCGTTCAACAAACGATAACTGTTGTGGGAAAATGCATTTAGTTTCCAAAGAAGTTGAATATGATGATAAGCATGCCGATGACAGGGAAATATGAAGTTTTATGGCCCTGTCACATGATAATCTAGATCCAATCAGATAACACGTTGTATAGAATAATTATAATGAGGTATAATAATAACACTTACTCCCCCAGGAGCTTGTAGGGTTGAGGATGTTGCTTCATACACTCTGGGTCTGCTTCCCTCGCTTCCTGTGTTTGTATAGGAATATACAGCAGACTGGGAAAATACCTGTGCATTTGGATTATTTCTGGCACTTTCCTATAAAATAAAGGGACATTTACTCATGTTTCTTTTCCCCTTTATATTTATAGTTCTTCTTTTTATTAAATAAAAAAATGTAGGTTGACTTATTGAATGATTTGATTTATAGTATACCAGGGATTATCCACTGCCCCATGTAGGGCCGAATTTCAACCCCAATCCCAATTGCAAAACCCTCCATTTCCCCCCAAAATTCCACCTCAATTTTTTCCTAAATTATTTACGTTTAAAACTCGACCGGGATCAGAATTCTTACAAAAGTATGAGAATGGAATTCACAACAAACAATATGTAAATGACAATTCTTATTACCCAAAAGAACAGAATGGTTCCATTTTAAGATTTTGTTTCAGTAATAAACTTTACTCTGACTCACTTCTTGAAATTTAGTCTAACAATAGCACATAAAAATTTCCCAATTTTTGTTAAATTGTTGTAAAATTCCCAAGTCCAAGGGCCCAGGCCCCATTCCCAATATGATGTGGAAAATCCCTGGTATACAGACTACACAGAAGATATCAATAGGCACACACAGATCATAACATTATATGATTCATAAAAGCACAAAATCAAAAACATCTTATGTCCTGTGCAACAAGGCCATGAGTGCACTTTACATTCATTCTGCATCAAACATTGTGATTTGTGACGGAACTATTTGCCCTCCTGTTTTGGTGAACAGCATATTTCAGACACTTACACAACAATCTTTCATTTTAACCCCCCCCCCCCCCGACTGACTTACAAATGTTCTTTCCATATTAGCCATCATGTTGTTCATGTTGCTAAATACACTGTTGAAGCCGAAGTCAAAGCCAAAAGGAGACATTGCTTGGTTGTTACGTGGGGCGACTGCCATTTGCTGACCCCCTCTTCTTGGTTCCTGTAGCATTGGATTGCTCCCAAACATGCTCCCAAAGGGATTCTGAAACATCCTGTCCATGTTTCTCATATGTTCTCGATGCCCTCTGCAATGATAAAAAATATAATGGAAATTTGCCAGTAATTAAGGTAGTAATAACAACAAGCTCATCTTTTGTCAATATTTAATTTTTGATGGATTAACAATCTGCTGAATAAAAAAATAATGCACCCAAAACAAAATGAAGAAACGGTTTAAAGATGGAGACTATAAAATATGACCGAGTCAAAATGAAACCAGATAGACTTGAGACCATCTAAATTTTTAAAAATTATGCTTACTCAAAAAATGGATCGTTTTCCATGTCAGCAAAGAAAGGCCTGCCCAACATTTTGATGAATGAGAGTTGATCTAGCTCTGCTTCCTTTACTGGCTTAAGGAAATCCGATAGGAAAAAGTAAAACAAAAAAAACCGTCACAATGGAGAATTGGGAATGGGTAAAGTTAGTTGCAAATTATACTACGTAATTTACTTTGTGTACTTTTACTGTACCACTATCTGAATGTGTTGTTTGGTAGTTTAGTGTTTACTTTAATTATACAAAATTATATAAAAAAAATCGCAAAACTGTTTTGCATAAATGTAATTTATATTTACCCATGTAGTCTACTTTTACCCTTACCCTTTATGGTGACCCAAAGCGGACATAAAAATTATAGGCAAGAAGACATTTGAATACAAGCTCCAAGACTTTGAATAATAAAAATTGATAAAAATATTGTTTAAAAACAACAAAAGACACTATCACAGTATTTTTTAGCTCACCTGGTCAGAGGCCAAGGGAGCTACTGCGATAGATTTCTAACGTTCTATCGTTAAAATGATATTGTCTTACGGACCTTGTATAACGAAAAAAAAATGTCCCGTAAAATAAACAGGAGCAGACAAATCTAGAATCAACACGTTTATAATGAATAAAGATCCAGAGAATTATGAATATTAACATGGCGTTTAAATTTGAAGCAAGAAAATGAGTTGAATTTTTGCTCTTTTGTAGATTTTTTTTTTTTTTTTTTTTTTTTGTAAAAAGGCATGTACTAATTCAGAAAGGTTTGCAATGATTAATTTGGTACTTATTTTCAATGCAAACTCCTTTTGCATTCTTCAATATCGTTTCGGAGCAGATCTGCTCCGATAAAATTTGCTTCATTTCAACTACCTTAATTGGACATATTCAAACTGTGGTGAGGCTTGTCTAAAGACACAGTTAGCTTATTCTAACTTCTCATGCGAAAGTTAGGTGTCCCTGTCTCTCCGTTTGTCTTTTTATCCGTCTTTCTAATTATCTTTTAATAGTTTTCTTCAAAACGCTACTACTCCTACACTTTTGGTTTGATTTTTATAAAACTTGGTACACTAATAGAAGACACTAACAAACATATTCTGTGTATTGGGTTTTATTTCGATGAATGACGTTGTCATGGCTACTATTACCAAAAAGAGAGATTTCTTTACATTTCTGAAAATGCCACCTCTCCTATAGTTTTAGTATTGTTTCAAGAATACTTTGCATACACGTACAGTGGCGTATCTACCATGCATGTATGTTTGCATGCTCGAGCATGTACATCATTTTGCAAAAAAGTAAATAAAATATATTTTTTTAAAAATTATAAAGTTGAATTTATATAAATATTCTTAAGATATGTTACCTTTTTTCAGGAACAGTTTATGCCCATACCTGAATAACAACCGAGTTTCTCATATTATATTTAGAAAATGGATTAAATTTTGAGTACACGATGTTATCTCCTTCCTAGCCAGGTCAATGTTATATGTAGTTAATGTGCAATATACTAATAATATGCAATATTTTTCTGATTAGTGTATTTATTTAATAACTTCTTTTCTCAAATTAATCCGCAAATGTACGATTTTGTGATTAAGCAATTTTATTATTTCCTGAAAAATGTTCAAGTACGAGTGCGAAGTTTGTTAAGGCAGTTATCCTCCAAAAGTTATCTGATTAATTTTTTTTCAAATGAGTGAACCTTTAAGATTGAATGCATCAAGAAATTAAAAAAATTACCCCCCCCCCCCCAAAGAAAAACACCAGGGAACTTTAATTAGAATATGCTAGGCGATTTCTAAAATATAATTTTTGGTGACCCTTGAAGTTAAAATTGTCCACTTTGTGAGTCAAGAACACACATGTCCAAAGATCTTACTTTCTTTTTTTTTCTTTAAATTTTTGTTTCGTTTCTTAACTTTTGCAAAAACATTGCCGAAATTGATGGATGCTTCTAAACTAGGATAGCCCCTATTTTGAATTTAAAAGAATTTTATTAAAATTTAATAAGCTTTCTTCTATTATTTGTGCTGTTTTGTATGTCTTATTCCAAAAAACAGTATCCAAATATATATTTTTTTCAATTTCTTTAGTGTTTTTAAAAATCGTCAGTATCCAGACCCCCTGCCATTTTGAGCATGCTTCATTTTGTTCCTAGCTAAGCCACTGACGTAAACTACTCAAAGATAGTTAAAATCTTATATAATTCTGTATACAATGTATTTGTTTTGATTTATATTGGTGCTGTTGCAATGCTTGCTAAAATAGATCTTTTTTAAGCCCTGCTGTAGTTTTGGTTCGAATCAGCAAATTTTATACACAGGTAAACTACGCTAAGCTACATAATTCTGTGTATTTTTAAGTCACCCTAGTCACCCAGGTGACCAATTGCCATCTGTTTTTATCCGTCGTCGTGCGGATGTGCATCGTGCGTAAACTTTTCACATTTTCAACTTCTTAAAAACCTCAAAAACCACTGGACTAATTTCAATCAAGCTTGCCACAAACTTTTTGTGTTCATTTTCAAATTACAACGATTTAAGGGTATTAATACGCGAGTTTCCGGATAGATATCAGTTAACTGTCATGCCAAAAGTGAGTAATAAAAATTGAAAAGTTGGTATATGCGACAGCTGGCAACGAAACAATAATATTTTTTTCTACACTGTATATTTTGCATGCATTTTGCTGTCAATCACCGTGACCTTCGATATAGTGTTCAGAAATCACCGACATCACCAGTCCTCTCGAGGCGAAACCCCCAGTGTAATAGCACGTGGAAAGTATTCTTTTTGTTATCTGGAGTTTTTTCCCCTTACATCTTTCGTATTTATTTGATGATTAGTTCATATTCATCACTTTTTATCATAGGGAAGAATTAATTAATTTTGATAAACAAAGCAGTGCACCTGAAATTAAATTTAAGAAGTTTATGGTCTCGGTCAAGACCATAAAGTGAGAACAGACTTTAAAGTCAAAATTTCAAAGAAAATCATTTTCAATTACAATCAAACAACATTTTCCTCGTGTGTTTTTATTCAAATGTTATACGAAAATGCAATTTTTAAAGACATTTGTAAAATAAAACTCAAGGTATATTCTCAGTTTATGGTCTTGGGACCTGTTTATTTTGCAATTTATGTACAAAAATATTTCTTTTTATAATTAGCTTTAAATACAGTTTGAAATACTTATGTTTTTACCTTTCTAGTTATTAAAAAAATTCTATGCTTTTTTGGATTCTATCTTTGAGAAATCCTTTGAAAAGCTTATTAATAATTTTATATTTACATCCACTGAATATTATTTCCTTTATTTCTTATGAAAACCATTGCCGTTTATCAGTCAGAAAAGCCACTAAGCAAGCCACCTGCATAAATTTCTTGAGCAACGGTTCTTCCATCAATTATGCATACAATGGCGTACGCATCTATAATACAATCTTTAGCATATTTAATTTAACTTAATTTTTTTTTTTTACAGATATATCAACAATAAAATGTCAATACGGGAATTAACGTCGAAGCTATTGCAGAAAAATGAAATAAAATAAAATATTGACAAGCAAAAAATAAATAAATAATTAATTAAGAAAAAAAAAATAAATAAAAAGAAGAAGAAGAAATAAATGAAATACAATTAAATAAAACAAAATATTAAAAAAAAAAATAAAAAAATAAAAAAACGGAAGGGGGTGTCATTCAGCATTAATTTAGATTAATTCATAATTTAAGTTAATTTATATTAGCTTGGATTTCTTTTGTATAGTTTACTGAGGAGACCCAACAGGTGTTTTGTTTAAAAGTCATATATGGCGTATTTTTTTTTTTTTAGAAGTTCAGACGAACTGAAATTAAAAAGATCTTTCTATTTGTTTCATTACTTTATATAAAAATAGGACTTTCCTGTAAATTACACAATTTAAATCAATCACATTTCAAAGATATTAGAAATTTAAAACAATAACCGATTTATTTACTGACTCCGCATTTAATTAACAGACACAGTTGAAAATCAATTTAACTATGGAAACATGAGATTATTCAAGTTCAAAATCGGTTAAAATTTTAATTTGAACGTAAATAACATATATCATGTTTAGCTACACCCAATCTCGTATTTTTAGTTTTTAGCTCAGATACGGCCTATACATGTTTATACCTTCAAGAATTTTAAAAGGTTATGCCCCCTCCCGCCCTCCTCCTGAAATTTCTTTCCACCGATCCGAATAAATGAAGGCCGAATTACTGTTTAAATGTCCATATAATATTTTTCTAAATTCTTAAACACACAGAAGTAAATACTGTGTCCATTTTGAGTGTTAACAGTGTTATCCTTTGAGGTAATATCACTATGATCCGCCAATAAATATCGAACAACGGGAAATAACTCGCCTATGAAGGAGGCACTCGGAAATATTGGGTAACTTGTCTAAGAAAAGGACAGAGGATTTCCCGAATGATAATCGGTTACCAAGCTAGCCTGGTTCCCGAGGCCTTCCGATGTGCACGCACATCGGAAGGCCTCGGGAACCAGGCTATTACCAAGCTAGCCTGGTGCACATCGGAAGGCCTCGGGAACCAGGCTATTACCAAGCAAGTAAATACCATATGTAAACAAAGAGCTACAGGGCGCGAAAGCTTGTGGAGGGTGAAGGAGAAGAGATAGTAAAAGCAAAATACACAAGGAAGAAAGCAATGAGACAGGTTTGGTTCATACAAACATGTTTGATGTTGGTTTCAACTTCATTTATAAATATATCTTATTTTGCGGAATTTAAACATACACCCTTTATTTATTCATTGGTTATCAACACAGAGAGATGCATGATACATCAAAGGATAGCACTATCAAGTAGAAATCTTCTTATTCATGCGCCTTAATTTTCACAAAATTATTATCCGTTTGTTAAACAAACGATTTTCAAATATTAAACACAAGATTTTCCATGCATACAGGTATGTACATAAATTTATTTTATTCGAAGGTGTGTAACTTAGAATAGTAGACCAGTCGAACTATGCTGGTGGGGCATACAAAATTATTATGCGCCAACAAGGAAGTTAAGTTAGTCATCATACAGATTTATCAGGTTTGACTAAACTTTATGTAAAGAAAGACACGTTTTACTATTGAGGTAATTGAAACAGGAATCATACATTGAACAATGATATGTTGAACTATCACAGTCTCTGCTACTCCATTAACCTAATTGCATTTTATAAGGCAAAGATATCGAATATTAATCAGTTGCTTAAATATTTAATTTAATTGATTTTTTTTTTCAATCAAATTTTTAGTTTTAAATATGATCTTAAATATCTTTTTAAAATCCGGATTTTTACACCGTATCTGCTCCGAACGTTACAAATGGAAATAACCCGGATACTGTTACCATGACTTCACAAGAGTTGTAGGCCGCGAAAGCTTTGGATGCACGGAAAGAAGGAAAGATTAAAAGATAGAAATATAAAAGAAAAGAACAGGTTTGGAGATTTTAATGCGTTTTTTGCCAATATTAATATTTTATTTTTATAATTTTTTCATAAAATAACAAAGGAAATCATCATAATATCATGTATTGTTTACATACAGAAAACTGATACTTCAAATGTCCAGATAGTCAAATGCACATTTTCAAAAAGAAAATTTCACTTTGCGGGGTTAATCAAAAGATGAATGGTACCAGTTAATAATGTTTTTAGTATTCTCTATGATATAAACAAACTCAATGGATTAAAAACAACTCACTCATAAAATTTCAGAATGTGACTTGTACTAAATCTTGGCTGATATAGAAGCCTGGAAACAAAACCGATTGAAGCATACTTGCCAGCAGTACACAACACAGATTGAAGATGGTAAATTTATTTTATTGTCTGATTGTTTGTGATCTTGTATTTTCAGTTGAATATGATGAGCATGGCCCATGGAGAAGTGTGCATGGTTGATGTACTCAAGTCACAGTCTGAATAGGTAGTGCTAGTGGTACCAGTTGCTAATGTCCCTGGTTTTGTCTATGCTATAAACAAACCCAGTGGATTAAAAAACTGTTTTGAGCCACTCACTCATAAAACTTCAGAATGTGACTTGTACTAAATCTTGGCTGTGATAGAAGCCAAGAAACAAGAGCGAGTGAAGTATACTTGCCAGCGTTACACAAACTGAAGATGGTAAGTTTATTTTAATGTCAGATTGTTTTTAAATGTCATTTTCTAAATCACTGATTTGTTAGCGGCAAATATTTGTCATCTTGTACTTTCAGTTGAATATGGTGAGCATGGCCCAATGGAGAAGTGTGCATGGTGTATGCACTCAAGTCACAGTCTGAATAGGTAGTGCTAGTGGTACCAGTTGCTAATGTCCCTGGTTTTGTTTATGCTATAAACAAACCCAGTGGATAAAAAAACTGTTTTGAGCCACTCACTCATAAAACTTCAGAATGTGACTTGTACTGAATCTTGGCTGTGATAGAAGCCAAGAGACAACAGCGATTGAAGTATACTTGCCAGCGTTACAAAAACTGAAGATGGTGAGTTTATTTTAATGTCAGACTCTTTTTAAATGTCATTTTTTAAATCACTGATTTTTTACCTGCAAGTATTTGTGATTTTGTATTTTCAGTTAATATGATGAGCATGGCCCAATGGAGAAGGGTGCATGGTGTATGCACAAGTCAAAGTCTGAATGGGTAGTGCTAGTGGTACCAGTTGCTAATGTCCCTGGTTTTGTCTATGCTATAAACAAACCCAGTGGATTAAAAAAACTGTTTTGAGCCACTGACTCATAAAACTTCAGAATGTGACTTGTACTAAATCTTTACTGTGATGGAAACCAACAAATAACAGCGATTGAAGTATACTTGCCAGCAGTACACAAACTGAAGATGAAGAGTTTATTTAAATGTCAGATTCTTTTGAAATTTCATTCTCTAAATCACTGATTTGTTAGCTGCAAGTGTTTGTGATCTTGTATTTTCAGTTGAATATGATGAGCATGTCCAACGGAGAAGTGTGCATGGTTGATGCACTCAAGTCGCCGTCTGAATAAGTAGTGCTAGTGGTACCAGTTGGTAATGTCCCTGGTTTTGTCTATGCTATAAACAAACCCAGTGGATTAAAAAACTGTTTTAAGCCACTGACTCATAAAACTTCAGAATTTGACTTGTACTGAATCTTGGCTGTAATACAAGCCACGAAACAACACCGATTGAAGTATACTTGCCAGCAGTACACAAATTGAAGGTGGTAAGTTTATTTTAATGTCAGATTCTTTTTCAATGTCATTTTCTAAATCACTGATTTGTTAGCTGCCAGTGTTTGTTATCTTGTATTTTCAGTTGAATATGATGAGCATGGCCCAGTGGAGAAGTGTGCATGGTGTATGCACTCAAGTCACAGTCTGAATAGGTAGCGCTATTGGTACCTGTTGCTAATCTCCCTGGTTTTGTCTATCCAGAATGTGACTTGTACTAAATCTTGGCTGCGATGGAAGCCAAGAAACAACAGCGATTGAAGTATACTTGCCAGCGTTACACAAACTTAAGATGGTAAGTTTATTTTAATGTCAGATTGTTTTTAAATGTCATTTTTTAAATCACTGATTTTTTACCTGCAAGTGTTTGCGATCTTGTATTTTCAGTTGAATATGGTGAGCATGGCCCAATGGAGAAGTGTGCATGGTGTATGCACTCAAGTCGCCGTCTGAATGGGTAGTGCTAGTGGTACCAATTGCTAATGTCCCTGGTTTTGTCTATGCTATAAACAAACCCAGTGGATTAAAAAACTGTTTTGAGCCACTCTCATAAAACTTCAGAATGTGACTTGTACTAAATCTTGGCTGTGATAGAAGCCAAGAAACAACAGCAATTGAAGTATACTTGCCAGCAGTACACAAACAGAAGATGGTAAGTTTATTTTAATGTCAGGGTCTTTTGAAATGTCATTTTCTAAATCACTGATTTGTTAGCTGCAAGTGTTTGTCATCTTGTATTTTCAGTTGAATATGGTGAGCATGGCCCAATGGAGAAGTGTGCATGGTGTATGCACTCAAGTCACAGTCTGAATAGGTAGTGTTAGTGGTACCAGTTGTTAATGTCCCTGGTTTTGTCTATGCTATAAACAAACCCAGTGGATTAAAAAACTGTTTTGAGCCACTCACTCATAAAACTTCAGAATGTGACTTGTACTAAATCTTGGCTGTGATAGAAGCCAAGAAACAACAGCAATTGAAGTATAATTGCCAGCGTTACACAATCTGAAGATGGTAAGTATATTTTAATGTGAGATTCTTTTTAAATGTCATTTTCTAAATCACTGATTTGTTAGCTGCAAGTGTTTGCGGTCTTGTATTTTCAGTTGAATATGATGAGCATGGCCCAGTGGAGAAGTGTGCATGGTGTATGCACTCAAGTCAAAGTCTGAATGGGTAGTGCTAGTGGTACCAGTTGCTAATGTCCCTGCATGGTTTTGTCTATGCTATAAACAAACCCAGTGGATTTAAAAACTGTTTTGAGCCACTCACACATAAAACTTCAAAATGTGACACACATACTACAGAGTATGTTTTCATAAGCAATCAGGGAGGGGAATTGCCAAAAAAAAATCTGTTCACAGAAAGCTAATTTTCGATAGCAAAGAACCGTCACGGTAGCTCAGTCGGTAGAGTTGCGGGTCCTTCGGATGAGACCTTAAAAAAGAAGGTTCTGTGCCACGATAGGCGTTGGAATGATAAAGAACCCTCACTTTTCAATGGCCCTGAGTGCCAGTAAAGGTCTAAATTTGAAAACCTTCACCGGTATATGGTGACGTCTCTATATGAGTGAAAAATTCGAACGGGACGTAATACAAAATACAATCAATCAATCGATGGGAAAGATCTAATTCTGTATCTGAAAATTCCTCTCTGTTTTGCTTTTCGGAATGAGAGAAGATTGCTTTTATGTCATTCTCTTAGAATTGTGATATTTTCAATGTTTCAATGGTACCAATATTATTTAAGATAGTATTTTTCCTTGAATTGTTTATTTCCGTTTGAAAGAGGGAATCGCTCTTCTGTTGACTTTAAAAATGAGAGAAGTTCGTTGGTATATCAACATGTTTTAGAACCGTGGTCTTTGTGTTATTGGCAAAGTCATTGGAATCAAGCTTGTTTGAAAATCATTGTTGCTGATTCATGCTGAATATCATTTTAAAAGGAAATAACTTTTTTTTTAGACTGATTTCATTTGTTTTGAATATTTTTAGATTCGTCTTGAAAATCGTCTCCTGTACACTCTTCCGCAGGTGGCTTATTTAATCAGATTTCCCAAGAAAGTTAGTTTTGAAGTTTCAGTTCTGTGTCAAGATTTCTCCATCTCTGATAGAATACCGAAGTGCGACATTCTATCTCCCGGATATATAGTTTTGCAATGCCTCACTTTCTTTCAAAACAATGCTGAAAAATTTTCCGTATCGATCATACTCAGGCAAGGAAATTTTTAGTAAAATGAGGGCATGTCTATAACAAATCTGTAAACCAATTCCACAATGATAACAGACTTAACTAAATAGTCACAAGGAGGTTTTCGATTTTGTCCAGTTTTAAAACTTAAGACATACTAGTATCTGAAATTGAAAAAAAATAATAGTAAAGATTCTTAGGGAAATGGATTCCGGAAAAAATGCCACAGTATTTAGTTTTCTGATGACCATATCATTTTTAAACATTAAAAACGTATACATGTATATATAAAAGACTTTGCAACTAAACATTTTGAACTCTCAACCATCCAACGCATTGCTGCAGTTAGAAGTAAGCAATAAACTAGATAATTTATTTTCACTGTACTATTTGATATTCCATCGATCACTCCATTTTTTGCATCGAGTGAGAGAAAAAAAAAGCTTATTGATTTAAAATATGATGATATTGATATCAAAGAAACTTCTTCCTTGTCTCTTTCGGGAATGAATTTTTTTTCAAATTCACACATTGAATACATCAAATATAGCACGTATATTTCTCAGAAAGAAGGAAGGAATTTTAAAATCATTTTATCGACAAAACATTATATATATATATATATATATATATATATATATATATATATATATATATATATATATATATATATATATATATATATATATATATATATATTTATTAGGGACGTCAACGAGTACCCGGTTAACCGGGTACTCGATCGAACGTCCGAGTATCGAATACTAAAAATGGTACTCGGTTACTCGGAAGTGTATTTTTTCTTATTTCAAAGTTCATATTTTTATCAAAAACTTATCAAAAAATAACTTAGATATGTAAACGGTAATTAGCGTGTCGTCATTTGCACCTGTAAAACACCCGTTATCGCCTGTGGCTGTGTTTATACAGTAATTAGTGACCAATCACCTGGTACACAGCTGTTGTGACCTATTGGGGTCCCTAATTTTTGGATGGCTTCAATGATCGTTTTCAGTGAACATCGTATAAGTATGGTCTATTATCTTCAAATCGTTTTAAAATTATTTAATTAATATACGGCAGCGAAATCGGACATGCATAGAAATGCAGCTACCCAATTCAAAAGTGAAGAAATATTTGGAAATAACTTAAGATTACAAAAATGTTGAAAGTCAGTTTGCGTAGTAAGTTTAATGTATACGGGAGAAACAACAAACATATGAAATAATATTAGACTAGCGATCCCAACAACGTTCCTTTCCTTCCCTTTCGCTACTCTAATCACCACAAACTTGAGCAACAGATTGTCCACCTTTTGCGTTGATGAAATACGTAGATCCTAAACAAGAACTGTAAACCATTTGTAATTTTTTATGTATTAATTGTGTCTTTTGTGTTTATTTGATGAATAAATTTAGTACCAAAAACATCATTTCACTTTGACATCCCTAATATATATATATATATATATATATATATATATATATATATATATATATATATATATATATATATATATTATACAAAACATTTTCAACAGTGAAATATTGTAATTTATTTATTGAATAAAAGTGGTATTCTGACACATTGTGAAAGGATATCAAAATGGTATTCTCGCAGTGTGAGAGAATACAAGAAGTGCGGCAAAATTCCCGATTTACCTTCCTTTCACGAAGAGTATTTAAAAAAAACTCCCTGGTCTGTTATAAGATAAACTAAGAGTAAATGAACCATTCTGACAGAGACTGAAACTTCCAAAGTTTTTCCAAATATGTTGTTAAAAATCCATGTGTACAACGTTTTTCAATATTTCAATCGCTTAGCTATGACGTCCCAACCGCTCAACTATGACGTCACAGCCTATGACACTGTGTTACGAAAAGACAGAGGCAAAGGGAAAATCAAAGAAAATGTAATAAACAGAAAATTCAATGTTTTGTAGATGAATATTGAATTTATTTCACTCGTGAGACATAATTTTTTGATATTTTCACTCGTACTTCGTACTTGTGAAAATATCAAAATATCCTGTCCCACTCGTGAAATAAATTCCATATTCATCTACAATACATTGAATATCCCCTCTCCCTCTCCCCCTCTCTCTCACCAATTGAATGCCTTTTTATGTTCACTAGGACCTACATTTTTGTCTTGAAATGTCTTTTTTCCAGAAAGAGTCAAGTTAAAAACACCTGATAACAAGATTTTTAGTTTGTGATTTCGATATCAGTTTTCGAAGATTCAAATAACCACCATGTCATGCATTAACCCCAGGTTAATATCAATATTTTTCTAGTCTTTATGAAACATTTTAACCAAAGATTAAGCACCTAAGAAGTTATGTCCATAATTGTTAAATAAGAAACATATTTCCCAAATTTATTATTGAAAATCTTAAAATGGAGTTTTGTCATTTGTATGCTTTTATTGTTTGTACTACCATAAACTTAGAAACAAATTCATGTACACACATACTAAGAATATTTGTGAATGTGAAATGAAAACAAAAGTATGTGTCAAGGCGTTGATTTTTTTTTTTCAAATTAATTTGAAACTCACATAATTAAAAGACGTTACAAAGTAGCTGTTAAGATGTGGTATGGTACCCATTGATTATCTGTGCCTGATTTTTGACTAAACTAATCCTTCATACATTTTTGTTTTAAAAAAATCTTAACTCATTTATTTAAAAGAATAAAAGAATTATTTATTTAAACGTTTAGGCTGAATTATCATTCCGGATTATTCTCTGATTTGTGATTATCTGGAGGACGACCTATATCCTTAATTCTGCTGGGACAACATTCTGCTTATTTTTTGTTTTTCAATATATATACTTCTTGAACCCTGTACGACATTCATCTGGATTCGTATTTGACATTCAAATTTCAAAAACAACCACCGAGCCTGCTGTGAATGCCAAACAAATACGCACAAAAATTGTATTGTGTGAAACATATGTGAAGGAAGAGGATCTTTCGGTACCCTGGTGGGAAATTCCATAGATTCTTTAAGTTTTAAATTTTTTTAAATGAACTACGTGAATTTTTTTTTTTCATATTTTATTTTTAACATTAAAGTTTTCATGGTGAACATAATCCTTAAATTGTAAGCTACAGTTTGAAGAAGACAGCGGATGGAATTGGGCATTTAAGAATGTAGAAGAAATCATTTTTCGTCATGAATATATGCATGTAGATGAAGGTGGTGCCTCTAGAATGACCTAAACGAGAGGGACTTATAGAAAATAAATTATGTAAAAATTGTTAAATGAAATAGATAAATAAATTATATAATAAAAATAGGCGCCTTTCAGGTAAACCTTTATTTTTAGGTTTTGACGGTTTTAATCAATTTATTGCTGTAAAGTACATAATACAAATAACATTTTTATCAGTAAAATTCGAAAAATTCAGATTTCCGATTTTTATATTCAATAATCAGACCTTTTTGAATTCCTTGAGAAAAGTAAAACAAAGCAATAGAACGAACTCAATATAATTTATTTAACCCTGTAAAACACAAAAAGAGACAAAAGTAATCCGTAAGGTTATAATAAGGTCTTTCAAAAATTAAACTGTCACACAGTTTTGTCATATTAAAATTAAAGCTGAACACGATTCGTAAAAGAAATTTGTCCGCCATAATCGATTGAACTCTCGCTATATCTGAGGGTCCATGGATATAGAGCCGCTCACTTAGTCACTGGTCAGTGTAATCAATCGTCATCGGTGAAAACGGACGTCTGCTATATAGCACTCGGTAGCGACAAAAAAAATGTTTACTTCTAATGCAGGATAGTTACATACCAAAGGGACTCACACCAATTGCACAGGTCAGTGCAGTATACAGACAATCACAAATACACGTAACTGCAATAAAATGTAAACGAAGGTAATGCAAGATAACCAACACGAACAGGGGTCGCCATTCCATGCCGATACCCGTGACAATAAAGCAGTCAGGTGTAACGAATGCGAAGAGTATACCCCGATGCTGATATCGTAGATAGTAATACCGAAAATGGCGTATGCCTATTTACGAGTCGTGTTCAGCTTTAACTCTACGATCATGCTTAAAAACTAGGGATGTCAATTTTGTCAATAATTCATATTCGAATATTCAATGAAAGTATTCGAATATATTCGAATATTCGATAAAATGAATAAAATATAGTTTATTTTAAATCTTCCTACTTTCATGAAAGATTTAGAGTAGGTATTCTTATATTGGAAGTAAAATTGTATGAAGACTTTTGTAGGTGTATAATAAGGAATTCCATTTGATATTTGTCAATGCATGTTTGAAATAAATATTTGATTTAAATGTAGAAAAGTATAATTTTAACAAATGATACACGTGTTTTTATAGTATCTCCAACTGAGGAATCAGTCGTCTTACCAAAGGCAGAATAGTCGTATACTTTTCAGATTTCAATACGTGTAATTAATTACAATTATCAGCCTAGTAAGAAATATGATTATAATCTTTGATACAATGTTTTTAAAATATAATCAAACATTTCCATAGACAATTTTCCTAGGTAATTAATTTCCCGATAGTGAATATTAAAGTTCAACCCAAGATAATCAAGTAATTTACACATTTATTCTGAAATTGAGCCCTTTACAATATTAATTACAGACTAATTCTATCGGACATTCATGTAATGATCAATTAAATTTATTTTGATAAGTATACTCTTTACGTCTTTTAGACATTCTAATAAGGTTTTCATTTTGTTGTCCTCGATTTTAGATCCGATGGTACATGTATTTATCTAATTAAAACTGTGAAAGTACGTTTTGTATTATATATAAAGCATTAATGTATAATTATTTAACATCTTACTCAAAAAAAAAAAAAAATAAATTAGTAGATCTATAAGATAAGAAAGTAGTAAAGGAAATCAGGCGATCGAAATTGATCGCTAGTAAAGTAAACGGGGATGATTCCAGCACTGTTCTAATCAAAATTTATTAATCACAGTACTTCTTTTTATGAAATCTGAAAAACACCGAATATTCGAATCTTAAATTCATATTCGAATATCAACTCATCGAATGAATATTCGAATGTTCGAATATTCGTTGACATCCCTATTAAAAACATATCGATATTATTTTTCTTCAATGAATATAACTAAAGATCAATTGCACTGATTTTTAATTACTAGTATTTTATATATTATTTTTAAAATTATATCGTGAAATTTTATTTTTCCTGGATGAAATCCATCTGCTCATTTTTCCGTCCTTATTTCATAACACTTTATCGCTATTTTTATGGTTTATTACTAACGATAGATCTTTCTTTATATTACTAAATCAATGCAAAAAAGTGCATTCATATTTTTGCTACAAACTGTAAAGGTATTTTCGGAGGAATATACTATATAAGAATATTTATGTAAAGTTCCGTATGGAAGGTTAGGTTAAAAGAAAAAGCATTTTGATCATAATGTCTTTTCAAAATGTAACACAATGTATTGAGAAAGAAACATTAAAACATCCTATTCGTGGAATATGGAGAAATGAAGAACAACTTGAATGTGATGGTAACGAAGACGTAATTTTCGAGAACTGTTTAAAGGAAACATTTTTAATCGCCGAGAGACTTCCAACAGAGTCAAATATTATTCCAGATCTACAAAACACAAATGTTTTAAATGTCGGAGAAGACATCGACAAAACCGATTACTTTGACAGCGAGGACGAATACTGGGAGAATCATACGTCGACAATGGGGGATGATTTTCATTTCGATGCATATGACAAGGGATACAGTTCTACATTTACAGGCACCAGGAATATGGGAAGATATAGTAAGATACTTATATTAAATTCTGGCGAAATTAACGCGATTATGAAAACAATTCTCAACATTTATATAAATTATAACTCAACATAGTTTATATAAAATTCAAAAATCAGTTTAGAACTCAATTACATCTTTCAGGATAGCGCTAACAATAAATTTTAAACGGATTAAAAAACGGCGAAAGAACGCAGTTTGTTGTTATCTATTGATAAAAGTCGTTTCCCACCGCTTACCAAGGATTTGCAATCAAAGTCTAAAGGTATAAAATGTATAAAACGGAAAAGACTGAACGGTTATCAGGCATTTACCGTACAGGCAACGGTCTAGTATCGGACTTCACTGTTTTAGTAACGAATGGGTACATGTAGAACGAATGTGCAATGCATGGGAAACTGACAATGCAATACGACTTTCAAAAGTACTTTAGTCTGACTAACGGTAGTGCGGTCGGAATTTCAAAGCACGAATGGTTTATCATGTTTCAGGAGAGTAATTATTCAGTTGTGATTCATATGTAAAAGACATCAACGTACATGTAAGAACAACGGTCAAGTGCAGGAGCAGGGGCCCATTTTACAACAGAACTTAAAACTAAGACCAAAATTTAATTTTGGTTATTAATTTCTATTTTACTTCAATTTGAAAATGATTTTCATCTCTTAAAAAAGAATTTTTCAAGATATTTTTATGCCAGCATTTCAAACAATATTATTAATTTTGGAAAATTTTCAATCAACTAAATTTTTTGTTCTCAGTCGTAGGCTAAATGGGCCCCTGAAGCGCATGAGTTCCGTACAAAACGCATACCTACCATATTTAAAAGTTAAAACAGACAAAACCCAATTTAAGTGGATACCTTAGTCTGATGTTTCCTTTACAAGTTTCCATGAAGTTTTAAACATGCTTAAAACTTTGCCAAACAAACCTTATCGTCAATGAACGTATTAACAGAATAAGTTACGGTCAAAACATTAAACGAATGCGAACGGAGACGAACGGACTTAAAAAGCTTGCTATCCGCTTGACATCCATTATTGCTTTCCGGTATAGTGCGACTCAGATCTTAGATTATTAATTTGCTTGCTAACAGGTCTTTTATATGACCTACCATTGTATATGCATATATAACTCATTCTTAATTAGTTCTCTTGTAACATTTTATTAGGTCAGGGAGTAGAACAATACCTGAACATGCCTGTCTTTCAAAAGTCTTTACGAAAGTTTGCAGTTGACAACAGTTTTGACGTACATGACGTCATTTCCGATGGGAACTGCATGTTTCGGGCTATCGCTGATCAGTTGCTAATTAATGGCTGCCTTGGGCATACAACAGAATCTCTCAGACTAACAGCAATAAAGTAAGTTTACATGTATTGTAAAAATATGAATTTTAATATTAATAATACATGATGATTGCCAAATAGCAAGTCTTTGGAAGCACATTCAATCTACAGAATATAGTTTATTAAAAGCAAAGAACCATTTACAATAATAAATATATTTTCTTTGCTGTCCTGATAAGGATGTGCAAAATTTCAAAATGTGAAATATGAAGATAACGAACAGCAATACTCAAATTCCAATTAAACAGTTCAAATTGTAAACAAAGAAAACACCGACATCTGAAAAAGAGGTTGAATCAGGTGCCATAAAGAGTGTACATCCCTTGTAGACCGGTGTGTTCTTCTTCAAAGGGATGCTTACTCTTTCTGAGTACCTGATCCCACCACTGAAAATTTCCGGTGGTCCATATTTAATGCCATACCAGCTTGTATTGTTTATAGATTTTTTGATATTAATCAGTCTTTACCTTCACTTTTATTTATCAGATCGGGTAAACGGAAAATTCGGAAGACAATTCATTGTGTGATAATAGTAGCCTAACAATTCGTATGAAATGTCAGTCAACATTCGACATAAGCTCAAGATCTAGTAAATGAGTTAAGACTGTCTATTTGGTGCAAGATCTATTATGACGTCATAATTGAATTAAACTTACTTTTTCCCGTACTTTACGGCTATAGCAGAATTATGTAGAAAATGATGCATTTTCATGGAATTCAATTTGAAATCATGTCAAAAGTAACCCCGATTTTTATATTCAATTTAATATCATTTGAAAGAAGAGGTCAAGAAGAAGATATGTAAACCCGTTTTCTGAGAGACTGTAGGCAATATCAATACATTTTCTTTTGTCTGAGATGGAGAAAACTCCCATGTTATTACCTGATTTTCTTCATTGAAAAGGGCAGTTTAAAATATGTTTTTCATTGAGTTTACCTAAGAATTATGTTCCGGTACACCTCAGTTTATTAAGCTATAGTTGTAACGGATTATTAAGGAATTCGTTTCTCAAATTTGTGAAATCTGTAGACACTTTTCATTTACTAGATCCTGACCTTAACGATATATTGTAACTGGATACAATTAAATTGTATCGACGTTAGAATTTGCGAAATGTTAACTAACGAGACTGTAGATATCCTTGTACACGTATAATACATTTATTTGTCAGAAGCCTGCCTTCTTTTAAAATCATACGTTGCATATGAATTTATCGAATGGACTGGGAGACATAAACCTTATATACAGGTGAAAAAAATGGTATATTGCTACAGAAATAAGGGAAGTTGGCGATAGAAAAGTTGACTCATTAGGTTAATCATAAAGTGTAATGTTGAAGGTAATATTTTATTCAAATCCCTAGGTATCTTAGACAAAATCCTTTCCATCAAGACAAAGGTCACCTGTCTTCCTTTTTATCAGAGGAAACATGGGAGGAATATCTAACAAGAATGTCGAGTTCTGGTGAATGGAGCGATCACATCATTTTACAGGCTGTAGCTGATGTATTCTCTCTAGAAGTTATCGTCTTCAACGTCTACCATGACGACATTTGCCGGACTGAAGTGAAAGGAAAAATGAACATAAGTGACCAAAATTGTTTAACAATATTTCTCGGTCACCTTGGAGAGTTCCATTATTTAAGTTTGCGTCCAAAACTATGGCTGAGACACTGGCCTTACAGTGAGTAATTAATACAATGTAATCCAGTATTCTAAATTATTTTAAAGTTTTCTCGCACAATTGAGCAACATACAGCAGACTGTAATTATCCTTTCAATTTTTCAGAGGTTCTGATACTAAGAATCCTAGCCTGTTCAAATGACACTGGCTCTGAAACAAAAAGGCACTTTATAACACAACAGCTGAAAAGAATGATGGACGAAAGGTTCGTATCAAAGACCACATTACATGAAATTGCCAAATTTGCTCTGCACAAGATCGCTGTGAACGAGGGTGAAGGCTTGGGAGAGAAATGTACCAATGACAGGGAATGGACACATGTTTTCAGACCGTACAGCCAATTGGATTGTCAGTCCGGAGTGACTGAAGGTAACTCAGTTTTATGCTTATAGAAATATAGAATATTTTATTGCTGGCAATGTAGAGCATATTTCAAGGATAACTTTGTCAGTACCCTTCAATTTATTTGTCGTACACAGCCAACATATTGAATCATAAAAATCCAAGTATTCGATACCACTATTATGAAAAAAATTACATTCTACATGTAGTAACATGAATTTTTTCTCAACTTTAAAATAAAATTTGCTCTTTTTAGAATCGTGTCAACACCTAACAGAGGATGGGATGCAGATAGATTCGCTGACAGGAATGCCATTAATACATTTATCCTTCATAATGAAAAGTCTCCTGGCTCAAACACTCAAAAAAGTTTACTTTGTTCCGCAGGGTCATCTATTTTATACAGAAGAAAATCGAGAAATTCTGTACTACCATTTTATAGGTCCTTTTTGTGACCCATGTTTTTTTACGTTAAAAGACATAACCCGTTCGCAGAAAATGGACAAATTCTACACTGAACGCCATTTGAAGAGGCCAAAAATTGTTATCATTAGAAAGGACAAAAGTTTATTATATGCTGTTTCCTCTGAAAAAGAAAATTCGCCATCACATTTATACGTTGATACTTCAGCTTCTCACCCTGGTTATTGTAGGATTAAACTTCCAAAGATTCAGACATCTTGCAGAGATGAAAATATTTTGCAAATTGACTCAAATGTTTATCTAAAAGCGTACGACATTCCTGAAAGAATTAAATCTGTTCCGCATTTTCATGAATATGAAGTGCAGTGTATTGGTTTTCAATGTCCATTCCCTTCATTGACATCTCAATGGAGGAAGAAGAAAAGAAACTATGATTACCCCTCGGCCGTCCTCATTGGCCGCGCAAGAGGAAAAAAGGTTACGTTAATTCCAAAAGCGCACACAACAAGCGAAAATTCAGCGATTGAATGGAAATTCGACTTTTCCTTGGCAGAGTTCACAATGATTTCAAATCTAACAAAGACACAACAATATGGATATTTTGTGTTTAAAGTGTTGCTCGAAAACATGACATCCCACCTTAACAAGACCCTGAAGCGAAAGCATTTAAAAGCTGTATATTTGAATGCAGCTGAGGAAATGCCTTCTAGTGCTTGGGACACCTGCTTCAGTGGTTGTGTACTGTATGTCATCAGCAAATTGTTGGCCTGTTTAAAAATCGGTTTTCTGCCGCACTACTTCATACCAAGCAATAACCTTATTGATTGTTTTTCGGAAGCTGACATCAATGCTCTCTCTGTGTGCGTTGAGTCTATTCGTTTGTTTCCAGTAAATATCATCCAGTTTGTTGCCGAAACACATGGATTTATGTATGGAAAAAACTTAATAAATTTGATTCTGTCAGACGTATCGTCTTTTGTGCAAACAAAGGATTTAAGAGCTACTGTGGAAAAAACATTGATTCCAACATCCATTCGCACAACAAAGGTTCTCTCAAGAATGGGATTTTATGACGCAGTATCTCTGCTGCTTGAAAATATGTATGAACAGCTGCTTTTGCTACCAGATTCAGAAAGAAATACTCTGAACTTTCAAGATTTCATTCAGGATGTAATTGACAAAATTGACCAACGGTCATCTCGAATCATTCTTGCAAAATATTTTGACAGAGACTATGGACTACATCTGTCAGCAAATTATACGCAAGATAATGCTTCCAAACTGAAAAACCTTTTACCATGGGAGGTAGATGATAAAATCGGTTGGTTAACTGTACCAGATGCCCCAGCTTCAGATTTAACTTCAATAGCAAAGTTTTTGTACGGGTATAGTCTAGCAGAATTAGACAAAAGGAACGCAACACTAAGTTTATCTACAATAGAAACAGCCATACGCTGTTTAAAACATGTAATCGAACAAAATTCTTTAGAGATGAGCACCATTGAAGATCAGATTTTGAAAGAAGATGTGGTTTCACAAACCCGTGAACTGAAGCAAAACCTAAACCAGTGCTACTTGCATTTGTACCGTGCATCATGTTTAGAAATGTACATATATCCTTTAATCAATCATATGGATGACATAGAAAGACAATGCGAGGAATTCCCAAACATGACTGGCATAGTCGGCGAAATGTTTCGCCATTTGAGAATGCCCGACAAGCAGAGGGAATATCAGTTAAAATTCAGTTCGTATCTTTCAGAAACAGGAGGTCCTAAGTTTATAATCTTATTATGAATTATGCTTCAAACAAATAACTCTCCTTGTATTTTAGTAGATTTTTTTAAATATAATTTTTTCCCTTTTGAGTCTAGTTTACTTGAGGATATCCATGTTGAAACAAGGATATTACCAGTCTCGTTTAAAGTCCACATTTCGAAAATTCTTAGTCGACATAATGACCTTGTCAGCAAATGCAATCTATCATTAAGTTGAATGTTGATTGGCGTTTTTAATACAAATATTGTTAGGCTATTTTACCGTTCATCCGTGAACGGTCGACTGTTGTTTTCTTCACATTTCATTTACATAAAATGTTATATAAATACGAGATATTTTGAACCCTTACGTGGATAAATTCAAACTTGAAACGCAACTTTTAGTGTTGATAGTTTACTGATTATTTCATGTTTAATGTGACATTGCTACCGTACACTTCAAGATGAAATTTTACAGCGACATTTTGTATTTTTTTTATGTGTATCATATTAAGATTCCGAATCCAAGTATTTTGAACACGTAATCAAAGGCGTGCACATGATTGAAATAGATAATGTGATGTGTAGCAACTAATTGTTTAAATATTCTAAGAAATTGAAGCACTATAGTACGGATTTTGCATGGGAATGTCCCGAGAAGTCTTCAGATGATGAAAACCTTGTTGAAGGTCACATGTTCCATTAACATGCTTACAATTTATTAACAAATACGTTGTTGATTGATTGATTCTTTACTGTTTAACGTCTCCTTTATTTTACTCACATAGGCGTAGGGAAGCAAATTGAAAAGGGGAGGGGGGGGTAATTGAAAGAGAAAAAAATTCAGACCTGATAAAAAAGACAACCAAAAAGAAAAGGAAAATTGAAAATACTCCAAACCGAAAACCTATCCTATTTCGGGGGGGGGGGGGGATCGAAATTCTTTCAGTGCCAATTCTTTGTTAAAAAAAAAAAAAAAAGAGGGGGCTAAGTCCCCTAGCTCCCCCCCCCCCCCCCGGTTCTGATCGACGCTTTGCCTCATATGAGACCTCATCATATACCGAAAAAGGATTTTAAATGTAGATCGTTACTAGCATTCATGGTCATTGAGCATTGAGATATTTTTTTTCTTGCCGATAGCTGCCATGGGAGACGTGACAATTTTTACTCCACGAAAAATCATGCTTTTTCTTGGGAGAAGAAATCTTCATATCTCCCTTACTATCTTGCAACAAATATATATTATTGATTTACAAGGAGTTGAATCGGTAGTTGGGAAAGTGTTGATTTGTTATGGGTATGGAGTAATTTAATGGCGGACATAAATTCATGGACCACCTCATATCTTAAAATAGCGAAAATTAAACCCCTACGAAAATAAATGGTTTCATAGTTATAAGAAAAATAATACGCGAAAAAAATTGAGAACAGGCAATCTAGCGGTATTTCGCGAAAATGAAGTTCTCGGGAACAAAAACTGATTAACATGAAATATGGAGAAAACGAACAGTAATCAGGCTCACATGTCCATTGAAATAACATAAATCGGGAAGAGTAAACAGAGAACTCTAAAAAAGACATCAGAGGTGAGATCAGGTGCCATGGAAGAGTGAGTATCCCCTGTCGACCGTCACTCCCGCCACGATTCATGATCAGTGTTTAAATAATGACCGAACATTAGCATGAAAAACGTTAGTCGGTATTTGACTTAGTGGTAGATTGTTTTTGCTGACAAGGTCATTGTATCGACCGTAGAACTTGCGAATTGATGACTTTAAACGAGACCGTCAACATCCTCGATTCATCAAGGTGAAAGGGGATAGTTTCGTACTAAAGACCCGGTCAAATTTCTTAAAAAAACTGAGATATCCCCTGTTTGATGTGATATTTTATGTAGAAAAATGATTATAATAATTATGGGACACATTTGCAGTGTAGCAGAGTGCTTGCTAAAAAAAAATGGCGTGCAACGTGCAGGTGTCACTATGATGCTTATCATATACAGAGTTGTAAATGCGAAACTAAGACACGTGGTCAGTTGCAGAGGAAATTCAGCTGAAAAGCAGTAGGCCTTTGAAGAAGATGTGTATCTCAGAGGGAAGGTGAATGGCCCCATATCAATTTGTGAATTTTCATTAGGGCATGCATTGATTTACAGACTACTGAGTGTTTTATCCTGCTCGCTCGGGCCGGGGGGTGGGTTGTATGGGTGCGACTGAGGCCCAAATCTTGAAAAAACAAGCAGAAATTTGGGGAATCCCCAGGTGCATTTTTGGTACATGTGAACTCTAATAGGCAGTTTACATGTAATTTGTTGACATAATTTGTGAGCCATGGGCATATGAAGTGTAATTAATTAGCCCCTGGAAAACTGTCCCCATGTACATGTTTTTATAGATCGCATGTATATGTGTACCCCCTCGGCACATGTTTGGCATTTAAAAAACTATCCTCTGCCACCCAAATTGTTTGTGATTACTTGCCTTGTTTTAAAAATTGTACGTGGAGCATGCTCTTGCGTATTCTATCACCAAGGAAATAAAAAAAAAACCAGTATGCAGGTGATGTTTTAAAATACAGTCAAAATATATGGTTGAATTAAAAAAAAATGACCAAACGCATATTTATCAACCCACACTAAAAAACAGGCAATGAAAAAAGATTTCTATGTCTCAGCATATGTCTTTAGATAGTGTCTAAATACCTGCCAAATATCTCATTGACATCTCTATTAACAAAAAAGTTATGCCTAAAAATGATGCTAAAATTGTCAGGAGTGCAACACCTTTTTGTGACATTTTGAAATTTCAATATTTTTTTGAGATCTGTGAAATAAATAATAATAATGCCTTATGTTGAAAATGATTTTCCTGATAATATTCAAAGTATTGAGCTTTAAATGTGGACTGTCGTAGCTTTTGTTTAATCAAGTTGTGGTCATGGCTGATGTTTAAAAAATGTTATACCATGTCAGGAGTGCAACAGAAAAAATGTAGTGTTGCCAAAAACACATCAATTGTAAAATTCTGAAAGAAAATTAAGACAAAAAAGAATTTTCGAAGTGTAAAACAATAGCTGATATACTTTTTAAAACTTAAAAATGATATATAAATCACAAGCAGCATTAATGAGAGTCAAGTAGATGTGCATACCCAATAATGTCAGTAGTGCAACATTTGATGTTTTACTCCCAAGCATGAAAAAACTATATTGTATTATCATTATATGATTTTTCTGTTTTTTATTTTGGAAAATAAAGACACAAAGAACATTTTTACTAAATAGATTTATCAATTACAGGATCTGTCTGTGCTTCAGATCTATATTTCTATGGTCAGGAGTGCAACACATTTTTTTTAAAGATTCAAGTTGTATGACGAAAACACTTCTATTCATGCTTAGAAGTATTCATTAATTAATAATGATCTTTTTGTATAATTTAATACTAAATTATTGACAGTTTTATCATTAAAATCCTTCCTTTTTCAATTTTATCAATTCAGATGTGATTTTATCTTTTTTGTGATTTTTTTAAATGAAAGTTAGAAATAAACACTAAAAAATTGTCACAAAATTCAAGTAATTCCTCCTCAACTTCACTGAAACAACAGTTCTTAAGTAATTTTCACTTCACAATTCTACTTTAAAGGCCCCAGTACTTTTGGTCAGGAGTGCAACAAATATGTTAGAATTATAAATCATCCAATAACAATAAAGATAAAGAAAAAATGATGAGTAGAATTTTTCTGGTGGGTTACTGTGTTTGTCCTCTAAAGGAAAATATGCTATAAAATATATTTTATCTTCTAAATATACATTTAAGCTAGTTTTTTTTGGCATAAATAGGGTATAATTCCAGATAAAATGCGATTTTTAAATACTTTCTTCTGTTGTAATTATGAAGTATTGGACTATAAATATTGCACAGTTTCATTACCACTTGATGTTGCCAGCATTTTATGAATTTTTGTGTTCTATGGTTTTAATGTTAAACTTTACTGCAGTCAGGAGTGCAACAAAACTGCTTTATAATTACCAATGCTTTTTAACTATCTTTACTAAAATGTGAGTTGAAAAAAATGCTTGATACTATTTGATGTTCAAAACACTATGTCTATCAACAAATTACAGAAATTTTACAGTCAATTCAGGGAATAGTTTTCATCATTTCACATATATTTTAGATACAATTTATATATAATACACTTTGCAAATAATCATGTTTTAAGGTCTTCAAAATATGGAAAACCTGCCGTAAACGATGAAAAATATCAACACGCCAAATTGATTTACAAAGTAAGAAAGGGTTATTGTGTGTTATAATTTTTAAAACAATGTTAAATAAAATACATATCAGATGTCAAGAGTGCAACACAATAATGTAAAATAGGGTCACTTCAAAATCTAGAATTTTTCGTAAGAGAACTCGTATTGACTTGACTTGAAGAATTGACTTGAACGGACAAAAAGTGAATTTTGGGAAATTTTATTGCTTCCTTTTTTTTTCATATTAAAACTTTTCAAACCAGAATTGAAAAAGTAATGTAAAATTACAATCAAAAGCCAATTTTTTTGTCACATGTACAAGAGAAGATACTCAATCAAGGTCTAGATTTAATCATTTATACCCCTTTTACCATTTTGAAGCATAAAAAACTATAATTTCTTGTGATTATGTATTTTAGAAAGTCTTTTAAGGTGTAATGATATTTTCTTTTTTCGAAAGAAATTTTACGAATAAAAATTCTGCAACTTTTTAATCCATTTGTCTATTCTATTGTCACTTCAGGATTTTAAACCAGAATGCATGTGCAATAGGATGGTATATGTGAAAAATGTTTTATAAGTAGTTGAATTTTGCCAAAAAAATTCAGTTTGGTGGTCTTTTTTTTTTAAATTCACCCATATGCTTTTCTAAATTTCTAAATACCAAATATTTGCTCCAATAAAGATTTTCTCATCGGAAAAATTGATAATATATTTTTAGAAGATTATATCATGTTATTCATTACAAAATCTTCCCTGTTGTCAAAATATTATTGTGTCGAAAATGTCAATATCACTTTTACTTAATCTGTTTAGTTGAGTTAAAGGTTATTTACTTAGCCTTAAATTTCCAGTGACCCGTGTGGAGCAGTGCTCTAGGGCGTTCTCTCTAGAGTCTCGAGAGTAAGGAGTTGATCCTTACATCACGGCTTCGAATCCCACTGCGGGACGTGGAAACCGGTCCTTCGGATGAGACCGTTTAAACCGAGGGCACGTGTCGCAGTTGGTGCTGGCACGAGAATAATCCCTCACGGTTTAAAGACCATTAGTGCTGAGCACAGGTCAAAATTTGCAACTCTCCACCGGCAAGTGGCGGCGATTCAATGTATAGGGTTGCAAATAACCACTTGCCCACTTGCAGATGCCAGTAATTTTGTCTATGGACGACTAACTCTTCAGGATTTAATCGCCCACATAGCGAGTAAGAATTTCTTCGCAAATTTTCGAGAACCTTACCATGCTTCGATTCTACAATTAAGGGTGCTCTCTACAACGTCACAACATGGTATACTTCCGTTGAAACGCCATTTTGGTCAGAAATGAACTGATTCTGTCCTAAACAAATTCACTGAACACCGATAAATCACCGGGTATAACACAACTTGCGATTTGTATCATAGCTCTATTGTGAATGGAATCTATCCACTCGAGGCGAAGAGAGTGGCCAATGTAGCCTTTCATTAAACAGGAATAGTTTGTATATATATTCAATTTCGACTTATTTATTCACAAACAATATAATTTGTTAAAATAAAATATGATTATAAGTAATAAAAAGTTAAACCAAAGACTTGTCACCATGATAATTTATCATTGCGTGTCAAACCCACTCATATGTTTCCATTAAGTCCTAAATTGATGATTCTCTCCAAAAGCATATGCTTTCCAGCGAAATATATCCAAAAGTGCAAATTTAAACAGATAAAGCATATGTTTTGAATCGAAAACGTGCAGATTTGAAACAAAGTAGGAATATCGTTATACGAATTTCTTTAACCCGCTTTTGACTATTTACCTGTTATGTCATCCTAGCACAGGATAATACATGTACATACGAGTTGGATGAAAACGGTAAGTAAATCTACCTTTCTCAATGCTATGAATTCACTTTACATGTCTTTGACTAGAAACGTGTGGGTTTTCGCTTAAATTCATTTAAAAACAATACAATACGAACTTATATCGATGTCCTAGTTTGGCATGTACTTATTAATTCCTTTTTTCAATACCTGTGCGAGTTTTAGAAGAATTAGATTAAATATATAAAAACCAGTCCCAAGATATTTGAGCCCACTCTTTAAACGGATCTTTGACACCTAAATTTTTGTGATGGTTAACATTTTCGTCAATTTCATTCAATTTCTTTTTTCATCATTTTAACCCTTTGATATTATATTTATTTTCAAATTTTGGAGGAAATCCATCCAGTTCTTCTCATGAAAATGCTGTTTTAGTTTTATTTTTGTCTATTATTGTAAATTCAAATAAAATTTTTTTAGATTTCATTTATAACTTTATTGGTTTTCATTTCAAGATTTTATAACATTAAACTTTGAATAGAAAATTAAAGCATAAGGCTTCTAAAAATAAAGAATTAAGGGGTTTCTACAAAATAAATAAAATATTTTGAATATTTCCAAAAAATAAAGTAAAATACTTTGGAACTTTTTTTTATTGGATATTGAGTCTATTATTAGAAACAAATGCATGAAACAAAGATCATTTATACTTCATAGGTGTAGAGATCCTCCTTAAGGCCAGACGACACATTCCTCAATAATATATAATTTTTTTTTTCAAGAATTTGTCATGAAGTATCGCTACTTTAACAAATTTTCTCACAAAAAATTAAGGTACATTACCAGGCATTTGTGCAAGATACCAGAGGATATCATTTATTATATAATCCTATTGAAAATCACTAGCATTCCCAGTATCGCATTTGTTTGGTGTCTTTATCAACTTCGACATTTTAAAAACAGTTTAAAAGCCACAAAACAATAATAATTATCATGAATTTGTTGTTTATTACAAAGAGATGTAAAACAGATATTCAAGCAACGTGTTATCAGACCTTAATGACCCTCTATACACTCCTGGAAAATGTTTTTTGGACTTAGAAAACTAAATAGCAGAAAGGAGGGAATTTTGAAACTAACTATTTCATTTTTAATTTAAGGAGAGTACCTTTTTTAACAAAGAAAAATTGTCAAAGCCAATGAAGTAATGACAAAGAAAAATATTTTTTGCTTACTCAAATGGATAAAATACATGCAAATAAAGTTTTCAAATCTTGGTCTAACATATCTATTATCAACGCATAGAAAGCCTTTCTGAACAAAAAGTGCGCTCTTATGTTTCGGATTCATTTTAAAATATGTCATACAGTGCAGATTACAATTTATTCTAATTTATGTCAAATCCTGGTCTGGGTCAGTCTAACTACACGAAAGTACCCTGAAATTAGAGTGCAGTGTAGAGAGGGTCCTTAAATTATTTTCATTTCACTGTTTATTATCTACAAAATGTTCCTTAATGTTATAAAGTTCTTGAGGTCTCGAAATATGTTACTTTCAACCCTGATATGAGTGAAAAATGCTCAACAAACAAACAAATAAGCAAATGTTGTTTTCCAGACTTTTTTCTCTTTTAAAAGGTTTTTCAGGGACAATGTTTAGGTGATTTAAATAAAACGCATCCGAATACTATTATTCGGGCGGGGGACGTTTATTATGAAAATATTTAAGCATTGAATTATTATTCATTGAAAGATGTAGTTTTGTAACTGTAACAGTGTATGCAAATAATTAAGTAACGCGAGGTATTCAACATGTCGGCACAGGAAAGTTCTGCTATAGGACCGCTGACATCCAAAAATAAGAATTCAATGTTCATAATTACATTTTCTAATATTCTCACTTCATTAATTGTTAATTTCGCCAATCTTTATTGTGAATTTAGCGCCTTTCAGAACTAATGTGCTAAACAGGCGTAAGAGCCGTTGTGACATGGAAAGTTAAATAACGCAAATGGATATGTGAGGTAAAAATGACAAATGAACACAACAACTTCGTTTAACGTCAGCATTTCGTAAATTCTAGGTTTGATATAATGACCTTCTTAACAAATATGACCTTACATTCGGTCGTATTTTGGCTGACTTAAAACTTTTAGGAAAACTTTCCGTATCTATTATTTATCTCATCCTTTACTTATCAGTAGAAATAAAACACAAATGTACTGTTTATGAATTTTATTTATAAACTCAAACATACACACAATATCTTCAAAAGATTTTGATTTTAGATGTCACTTGAAACGGGCAGTTTGTTTTTGTTTAAGAAAATAATTTTATAAACACATGAAGAAGACAAACGATTTCGCAACTTGGTGATGATATTTCCTGCCATAAAGAAAATGCGTTCTGATGGTACTAAACTAGCTGGAACGGCGAAGAATCGTAGAGTGAGAATGGATGGACTGGGATATTTTAACGAATTTGTCCTCCACCATTGCAACGGATCTGTCTACTCGTTCCTTAAGATATAGATCAATTTCTGATTCATTTGCACACTGATATTCATCATCAATTTAAAAATCCAAATTACGTTTCACTTCCGGTTCTTTAGGAGCACGCGGCTCTTTATTTACTGACGGTTTAAGTGGCAAGTCGTCAAGCAAGCTGTCAACAGCTTGATGGACAAGATTGCCCGCCAAGAATAACAAATGCTTGTGTCTTGGATCCAATAAAGATATAGTGTTCTGAGAGGGAATATCATAATTTGGCATAGTAATAGACATGAAGTTTCAAAATCCTCTCCTTCGACAATTCTCAGTGGCATTTAGTCGTCAATCACCATTTCTACAATGGTTCTTGTTACGTTTTCCTTTTCAGCCCCAATATATATTGCGATCGAGGAGAATTAACACACCCTGAAATCGCTGGTTGTTTTTGTGGAGTGTCCTGTAAATCGCTGGTTTCCGAATTATGTTTTAATCTAAAGTGATTTAATATATTTTGTAGTCCCACCCGTATACGATAACTCTGATTCACATAATTTACATTTTACAGATTTCGAATTAGTTGTTCGAAGCTTTAGATGTCTACGGCGGCCTCTTGTAAAATTATGTTCCTCTGACTGACACAGGTCTAAATGAGGTAATTATAACTCAGGTCTTCAAAATATGTATACCCCCTGTCAATCAAAGCTATCAATTATAAAAACTGTGAAAAGTAATAAAAAACAAATCGATCCTATTTGTGCCGCACTAGATCAAGTCTAACGGTAAATGAAATAAAAGAAATGTGTCAGTTTACATTATACATATAAATGATATAACATTTATTTTCTACCTATTTACTATGTAAAATGTATTTTTATCCAAGTAACCGAGTTGCAGTTTTACTAACCGACACTCGCATCGTTCGACGGTTAACCAGTGAACCTGGTACTCGATGACAACACTAATTTTTGTCACTATAATTATATTCGACAAAGAAAATAAAAGAAATTAAACTATTAAGTCACTTCTGTACGAATCGCTGGAAGGAAAGGTATGAAGACATCATTGCAAGTAAAACAACTGTCTTTCGCTCATTGTAAATTTCTTTGTATTACTTATGTCACCGTTTGGTTATTATCATGAACCTTTGCTTACGCATCATACTTGTGTACATCTATCTTTCATGACAGTTTAGTATCTATTATATTTCAATTTTGATGCTCCTTTGTAGACTTCACCTACGAAGGAAATAGAGTAGATGAAATCATATTGCATTTAAATATCATATTCAAAGGATTAGCAAACTTAGCTGCAATATTTACCTACCTGCTCCTAAGAAACTATCAAAACGCTTTTCGTATTCCTTCTGTTTACCAGGAAAAAGTAAGTACTGGTACATAATACTGACGATTCCACTCATATCTGGCAATTCTTGACACAATTCTTCTATTGCAGGCATATACATTTCCAGTGGCAGGAATGTCCGGTGCATTTTGGAAATCCTCATGGTATGGATGTAGCAAAACATCAATTTTTCTTTCAGTCTTTTCATCATTTCGGACTTCTGAGACTGAATATCTTTTATTAAAGCTTCGTCATCTATTTCGACATCAATCATAGGTCCCTCTTGAATAGCTCTTTCGAAACATCGAATTGCTTCCGAGATACCTAGCGTAGCTAGGTCGCTGTTAAATCTCTTTACTTCAGTTTTACTATATTCGTAAAAAAAATCTCCAATTAATTCGAAATTCGACGTTTTTTCTATTGGTATATGCAGCCTGGCAATCTCGTAGTTTACCCCCCATGGTAAGATATCCTCCACGAAAAGAGGACCTGTTGACATGACAGAATCCAGTATGTCTACACCATATTCGTTTTGAAACCTTTTTGCCAAAATAATCTGAGAGGCTTCCTGGTGAATTTCTTTGAGAGCACGACAGAAAAATTCTGTGAAATTACAATTCAAATCGCTAGGCTTTGTACATGTAAAACAAAGACGTGACTCATAAGTGTCGTGGAGAAGAAAATAAGCTGCTTTATAATAGCCTTGTCTTGTTAAAAATTTTACTGTTCTAATTGTTCCAGGAACGAAAACATCGTAATAAGTTGATAATATTTCTCTACTTGATGCAAATCTTCTACAGTCCTGTAAAACCAATCTTGACAGGCTTGCTCCGTATGTGTATCCATAATTTTCAGTAAGAAATTGTATAGTCTGCACTGGAAACAACCGTATAGCTTCGATTTGAATAAATATGGAATCAAGATCTTCCTCCTTATAGTTCTCAAATAAATTGAACGATGGTATAAAATAATGTGGAAGATGCCTTTTTCTTATGCAAGCTAATAAAAATGCACTAGCATAAAGAACGCACCCACTTAAGTTTGTTTCCCATTTTTCAACAGGAATCTGCTCGCAGCAGTTCAAAAATACTGCCTTAGTGTGTTTCATTTTTAATTTGCATCCAAAATGACATGTACTGTAATTGATAAGCATTTGTAGTAGGAAAAATCCGCGACGTTGCTTGTTTGTAACAGCTCTTGTAAAGATTATTACTTCAGAGTTTGTGAAGTTAAATTTCCACTCTATATCTGGATTACAACTCTTTGGGTGATGTTTTGGAATTAAGGTACAGCCTGCATTGTGAATAGCAGAAACTACATCGTGTGGTGGCCATTTGAATTTCCTTTGTCTATTTCGCCACTCATCTGCAGCTAGTGGAAACTCAGCACTACTGAATCCCATAAAACATCTTTCTGACCTCTCCGGTAAAGACATATTCTCAGGGACATCTAATCTTTTTAAGAAAACATCATTCTCACATCTATGCAAACTTTTCTCTGGGAATAAATGCGACATAGATAGAACTTTTAATCGTAGAAAACCTGGATGTGTATTCTTTGTATCAATTAAAATTGCCGGTGTAAGCGGTCTTAAAGCAACTACAGTGGCATCTTTCTTAACAAGATTTCGTGACGTGTATCCTCGAATAATATCTTTTAAGAATGCATAGGTTCCCGTAGCAAATGATCCTAAATACTGAAACACCACCCCATCCTTTTGTACTGGTGGAAGTGCATGGGAATTAACAAGAGCCATCATAGGAGGAATCAAATGCTTTATGAGATAGGCTAAATGTTGAAGTGGAAGTCCTGTTCGTGTATCAACGTAAAATGGATCCTCGACGAGACGATTCAGCGATTCTAAGAAATTAAAGATTTTATTGATTTAAATTAATAAGTAATTGTATTCTTTACATGCCATCCGTAACCTAAATGCTCCTTAAAAAAGGAAACGATGTTGTCTTTTTAAACTTATAAAATACATTCTTTTTCAATAATATATATATATATATATATATATATATATATATATATATATATATATATATATATATATATATATATATATATATATATATATATATATATATATATATATATATATATATCATACCTTCATCTTCTTCCATTTCTAGGTCTTTCAAACCATAAACGGGACATACTGTGTATCCGAACTTTTCTGAGTAATTCCAGTCAGTTTGTATTTCTGTTTTGAAGTCACAATTTGATGTTATTTTGAGTAAGTCTTCTACGCCGTTTTTCTCATCACTTTGAATTTTTAGACTCTCAAATTGTCTGATGAGTAATTGATGTCTTAATATTAGTGCTTCTACAATGATAAGTTTAGATAAAACATTTAGATTTCAGAACAATTCAAAATACGGATCCGAAATACATAAGAGACAACCCAGGTATAAAAATTCTCCAGATCAAAGAAAACACTTTTTAAAAACGACATTGTTTTGAAACATATTCTTTAATATTTACATATTATTTGCCTTCAATCTTACGCAAAACTATATGGCATTGAAATTTTTAACTTATTTGACGCTTATCTGAATACAATATCTTAACTGTATTGCCATTCTTTCTCCCAATTCTTGGGTCTTAAACTAAGGTAGTGAAATTCTCCAAAGTGACCAAGATAAACGGTTATGGTGTCAACTGATTGTTTTCTTGATAAAACCTCTGTTCGTCTAATGTCGTCCTCATAAACATTAAAAACCACAACTCGTAGACCTAAGGCGTCAACAGCAGCCTTAAATATGACGTGATCGCACCATTCTGTACTTTGTTCCATTCTCGACAAGTATTGTTCCCAGTTTTCGGTGAAAAGGAACGACTCAGTGTGTGAACCATCTTCTTGATACGGATTTTCCCGAAGAAAACTGTTTACATTTATAAAGAAAAACAAACTATTAAAAATCATTTGAAAATTCGTACCTTTAAAAAATTGCTTGTAATCTGTATTGATTATTTTTTCACGTAATAATACGAGGGTTATCCCGAAAAAAAAAAAACCGCAGACTTTTTCATTTTTTTTTCACAAAGTTGGGAAATGATATTTTCATTATTTTGACCAAATTCTATGAGGCTGTAATGTCCTAGGCATTTAGTTTTTCTGGGACAACCCTCGTATAATAAATCCTATAATAGACAAATTTCTTTATGGATTGTTTTAATACAATGTGTAGATTAAAAAGGAGAAGCTATGTATAACGCACTTGATAGTGTTTTTCCGTAGTGACTCAGGAGAGTTACCAAAGATTCCGTTAACAGAAAGCTGATCATTGATGGCCCTGAAAAGACAGTTTCCATCTGCCATAACATTATGGACTGTAAATCCATTGTCTTTTGCAAATTTCTGCAAGGATGTCACAAACACTGGCATGTTATTGTACTGTGATACGCCTTGACCTGTTTAAAGAGACATTTAGAATTATTACATTTTTCTAAGAAATTTTTCCTCCCTAAAGTCTGTATAGATTGATCATTTTATTAAAAGCGCATGTCTTTAGATTGTTTAGACTTTGAGGATGATCTTAACTTTTGCTAGATTGACTAGTCTATTAAGACTAGTTACATTGCTTTGTTTTTAAAAGGGATGTCAATGAATATTCGAGTACTCGACTATTGTTTGATCATTTCGACTAAAATTTTTTACTCGGTTATTCGTTAAAAATTTGCTACTTAATAGTAATCTTAAATTCAAGGTAAAAATATTGGATCTGCTCAGTTTATTTAATTACGTATCAGTTTTCAGTACTCTCCTGGATAAAACTCAGGGAATGGCTTATTATTAACTGGTCTTTGTTAACTATTCAAAGGAATTACTTTAAAAGATGTTAGATCCTAACTGTAAAGTTCCAATCTGGTTCCGTAAGATCTCGTATAATGCAACTATCAATTAATAAAGAATAATTAAACAGCTGTTACATATTTGTAAATACATGTAAATTGGGGGGCATGAGCAAAATTAAAATTTATCCCAAGCTCTCTGTTTTTATAAGTCAGAGTTAACTCTTTTATTTGTTTAACAACAGTGGGTCATTGACAAGACACATTCAAATGGCTTCGGATAAGAAATCAAAAACGGGTACATGTACTAGCAGCATGAAAAGAAAGGATAAATGCGAGCGTTTGATATTCTGTATATAGATAAATGTGCAGTAAATATTTTCGGAAATCGAAAACATTGGATACATATATTTATTGCTACGTAAATCTTAACGATTCAATAATTCGTTGTATAATGGTGATAGCGTAGATTAGATATTGTACAATCTAGCAGTCTGTTAAAGACAACTAGGAAAATTGACATGAAAAATTAATTTAAATTTCAACGAGTATTCGACTGTCGTTCGACTAAAGCCTCCGACTAATCGACTAAGCTGTCCGAGTAAAATTGACATAACTAGTTTTAATTATTTGAATATACACTACTTACTTTCTCGGAAGTTTTTTCTCTACCATACCCCTATTTGAAACACCTTGTGACCCCTTCCTAGCCCCAGTGGTATTAATTATTTTGAACAAGTTTGAGTGTAAACTCTACGCATATATGTTCCTCGTGATATGTTTAATCAAAGTTATGTTTTATTAAATTGTACATGTGAAGTTTGCCTGAAATGTGTCCAGCTATTCTTTAAAAGTTGAAAATATGAAGAGTCCCGGAGAGATTTAGATGGCAGATACTTTGAACACTTAAGCTTAACTTAGTTTTCCGCTTTGGTGTTTTTGAAAACCCATTTAAGTCATATTGCAGGTAACGATCAAGTCTTTTCAAATGTGAGAAGTATTGCAAGACTACACATATTAATTTGTGAAAGATAGCGTGCAGCGATAGAAGATATGACAGCTTTCACTATTTATAATAATTATAAACTGCATCATTTAAAATAATCTTACTGTATCGTCCATTTTCTGCAGATGTTGAGGATGGAGAATGAATCATTCCATGGAAAGTAAACATCGAACTGTCCTCAAAGTTGTTTCTGTATGTTTCAAAGTATTCGTCTTCACTGTCAAAATAATCAGTAGCATCAGTTTCAAAATCATGTATATTGGATTCCGTGTTTGAGAAAGCCTGTTTACATGGGTTTTTAGAGTGAGAAACTGATGCCTTTTTGTCTTCTTTCTTTTTTGTATCATTATTGTCTGTTCTCTTTTCTATTTCTTTTTTGTCTTTATTTTTATCGTTTTCGAAATCAAATTCATTTGAGTGAGTCTCAATGAATGATGACTGACTGATTTCACTTCTGGAAGTCAAATTGGTTTCAATTGGATTTCCAGAGCAAATGAAGCCCGATTGTATGTTCACATTTTTTGGATTGACGGGCTTAGAACCTTCTTCAAAGTCTCTTGCAACGTTATTCGAGAGGGGCATCCTCATCGCATCATAATCGTTCTCTACATGTACTTCGTTTGGGAAAGTAATACTGCTTCCCTGCAAATTTTCTTCATGTACATTTATGATAAACTCATTTTGAATTTCCTCATCACACTCTTCAAGTCTATCATTGGACCATATTCCTCGAAAATATTTTTTGGTTTCTGTCCTGTCTGATGATTTTTCAAACTCTGCTAGAACGCTAAAGTGCGACATTTTGAACGGTGTCTATGTAGAGTTACAACTCTACTTCAAAACAGTAAGGAAATCTGTTTATAGCAATTAGGTCCTGGACAAGGAGGTTTTTACGAAATGACGTTATGCCGAGAGAAGATCTAAACACCTTTAATTATTGCACTAGTCTCACGACTTTACAGAAATTTGCCTTTGCTGAATTTATTCAGAATTCCGTCCTTGTTTTTCGGGGAAGATAAATTTAGCGTGTGTGTGTGTGAAAACGAATATCAAATTTCCTCATATAGCGATGGAAAGGAAGGAAATTCAACATTTCTGTATTCAATCATTTTAGATGTACTGAAATAGGGTTCGAACATTTTTTGTTATCCTCATAATCTAGTACGTAAACAAGCTATAAACCTTGCAAGACAAGGACGTACATCTTTACATGGAAAAAGGTTGATTTACAAGGAAAATTTTACAAACATTTTCTGGTAATGTTTTTATGTGCATCAAAATCCCAATTTTCCACATCGTTTAATTTGTTTAAGTCTTAAAACAATAAAGATCAAGATTTACCCTGTAACATTTTTTTTTTCGACAAAATGCTACATCCTTTTTAATTACAAATAGACAGTGTACAGGTCTAAAGGCAAAGAAAGAATAAAGAAATTGAAATACTTATGAAACATGCCAGAAGTGTAAGATACAAATAATAATAATAATAAAAAAATCAGAAGACATGACATGCAAGTTCATTCTGTATTGTTGCCATAATCAAAACTAAGTCTGATCTCTAGCTTAATGTACATTATTATACTTTCATGTTAAATACTAAAATCTGATTGGTTTAGACGCAGTTGACAATCCGTAATATTACCCTCAGCGTTAGCAACACACTTGGCAACGGATAACATTACGAAAATATCACATGCGTTCAAATCATGCGCGTACGGTTCACCGTAGAATTCTCAAAACGTCGGTTGTGCGTTTGAAAGAAGCAGAATAAACGACGTCAATAAAAGCTTGCGTCCGATGTAGCTTACTTGAAAACAACAAACGACAGACGAAACATCCTTGCGAGTGCAAACTTTAGATGACAAAGGACTTTTTGAGTAGCAAACAAACAATAAAGAGGTTGGTTAATCTTTTCCGAAGCTTTCTTATTGAGAAAAATAGAAGCGGGGAGTTTGAAAGCTTTCTAAGCGTGAACTTAACGACGATCTCGGAATTTTTTTTTATGACACCCGAAATCAATAAGACATTCAGTATAATAAAATAAATAGTGCACGTTTTTGAGGTTAACAGTTGAAATTGACACCCCTCGGAAAACCATTGTCAACCTCCGCTGACGCGTCGGTTGACAATGGTTTTCCTTGGGGTGTCAATTTCAACTGTTAACCTCAAAAACGTGCACTATTTATATAATGTTTATTTAATAATATAATTTGATAGGTTGATAGGTACCTGCGAAGAATAGAAGAGGTAAGGTTCATATAACAATTACAATAATAATAATTCGTTCAAAATACTCGATCAACGATCATTTAATTTAAATTATTAAAAGGCTGGGTAACGACATGTTGTTTTAAAAGCAATTAACATCTCGAAAACTGTCCAATTACACCCACAATATCAACTCAGAGAGCTTTAAATATATTTGAATCGGCTAAAATATAGATGAAACAGCTATTATTTTCATTTAATTTTCAGCATTCAAAGTATTCAAATTTACACATAATCTAATTTTTTCGACTTACCAATTACAAATTTTCTAACCGATTAACATCGTTCCGACCGAGTCAGAAACCGGTTAACCGATAATAAATTGCAATCCCTAATATGTATATACTGAAGAAACGCAAAAGAAACACAACAAGCGTTAACCACAAATACCGGTTTTTTTTCCCACTGAAATTCACAATTTAGCACAGATTTTAAAAGTAACATAAAACTTGATTTAAAAACATCTGAGATTTGATTGATGGGCACTAATTGTGCTCCTTTATGAACTAACCTGTTTTTTAAAATTCCTATGAAACAGAATTTATTCAAAAATTTCTTCACGAGAGGAGGAAAACACTAGCTGTGGCCTTTAATTCGACATTCAGATATATCGACGATGTTTGTCAATTAACTATAGTTAGTTTCATTCGTATGTCGACTCGACATATCCCATTGACCTTGAAATAAGACACCACAGAGTCTGCCACATCTGTTTCATATTTAGATATTTTACTGACTATAGACGATAAAGGACAATTAACAACTAAATTGTATGACAAAGGAGATGACTTAAGCTTTTCCATCGTCAACTTTCCTTTTTTATGTAGTAATATTCCACTAGCACTTGTTTATCGTGTTTATGTCTCCCAACTTATTCGCTACTATTCGCTACTGATAATGGATATTGCAAATCAAAGGCTCTTTGAACCCCCACATTTCGCGGTAGAAAATACCGCTCAAACAACCCGTTTGTTCCTTAAACTTTAATATACCAACAAAGGAATTGACGCAGTTAATATAAGTAATATTCTTAATCACAAAAAGTTCCAGTCTTGTATTCCACCATATTTCAAGTTGAAGTCCACACCTTGTATTTCTTACAAATATACATCGACAATTGCTTCCAAACTTTTTAATTATAAAAAAAAAAACCTCTACAGTGCCTAGATATTGAGCATCTGAAACATAATCCTCCAACATGTCAATGTTCTTCATCCTACTACTATAGTCCTACTGAACACGTCATGACTGGTGACGTAAATATACTAGTAGTTAATAATGAGGTTCTTAAATCATACTTATTATTAGAGGGCCTAAGTTTATGGAACCCCGATCTTTCAACTGGCGTCATAATTTCATAAATATTATGAATTCAATAGAAGATTACGCCAGTCGATGGGCTAAATATGAAAAAGAAGACCTTGACACTTTGCCAGAATGGATTAAATGTATCAGATGGATGTTAAAAACGCGCATTAAGCGATTGAGGGGCAATATGAAAACCATCTATCCTTCTGTCTTTGAGAATGCAGAAGTTAAAAAAGAATTAGATAGATCACACGATCAATATACACTGGTCCCAGCTGTCAAAGCAGGTAACAACATTGTCTTTGCATGTAAGGCTCATTATTTTAATTGTATTTTAGAAAAACTATGATTTAATTCTGCAAGTGATAATCAAACTTATACCCATACCTCCCTTTCTAAGGAGAAAATTCTTCAAAACCATATGTCATTTTTAAATATTTTTAATATTCCCAACAATCAAAATGAATTTGAATTACCATATCTATACTGGATTCCAAAACTCCATAAAAACCCTTACAAACAAAGAAACATAGCGGGTTCCAGTAAATGTTCTACCAAGTCTCTTTCTTTACACCTCACTAAAATATTTACAGCACTGAAGTAGAAACTTCATGAGTACTGTAAAACAGTATATCCAAGAAGTGGTGTAAATCAGATGTGGATACTTAAAGACTCAAAGGAACTTTTAGAAAATTTGATATCACAAAATTTTAACAAAATCAATAACATCAAATCTTGTATATTGCTGGAGCAATAAAAATAAAAATAAAAACAAACATAAAAACGTACGACTTTTCCACACGTTATACAACCATTCCCCACTATGAATTAAAGTCCAGGCTTTTTGACATTATAGACAGCTGCTTTTTTCAATAAAAATTGAACTCGTAAATATATCACCTTGTCATTGGTCATTTGCAAAACTATTTTATTAAAAGGCATTCTGTTTGTACACAAAAGTACTCTGAAGTTGATATTAAAAAGATGCTTGAGTTTCTGATTGACAATATCTATTTAGTATCTGGAGATCAGGTCTTTCAACAATCTATTGGAATTTCCATGAGTACCAATTGCGCCTCCTTGTTAGCAGACCTATTTTTGTATTCATATGAAGCAGAATTTATTCAAAAACTTCTACATGAGAAGAAGAAAAGACTTGCTTTGGCCTTCAACTCAACATTTCGATATATTGACGACGTATTATCAATTAACAATAGTTACTTCCATTCATATGTCGACTCGATATATCCCATTGAGCTTGAAATAAAAGATGCCATAGAGCCTAACACATCTGTTTCATATTTGAATATTTTACTAGAAAAAGACTTTAATGGTAACCTAACAACAAAGCTTTATGATAAACGTGATGACTTCGATATGTCAATCGTCAATTTCCCTTACTTATGTTGCAATATACCCTTCCTGCATATGGGGTTTTTGTCTCCCAGTTGATTCGATCCGCAAGAGCATTCTCAACGTATGAACATTTTCTAAAACAAGGCAAACAAGTTGATGAAACAAGGATATCAACAGTCTCATTTGAAGCCATCATTTCGCAAGTTTTATTGTCGCTACAATGCCCTTGTCAGCAAATACAACCTATCATTAAGTCAAATGCTGACTGACGTTTTTATACTAATTGCTAGGCCATTATTTACACACTGAGTTGTCTACGGATCTTTCCGTTTTCCCGATCATGACAAGGAACACACGGCGGGTGTGACT